CGCGCTGCGGCGGGCTTCTCCGTCTCTCTCGCACTCGCGGGGCGCGCCGAGCGTTCCGCACAGGTGCGAGAGAGACAGAGCGACGCCGCTCGGCAGCAGCCTGCTGGCACCGATTTCACGCAATCGACGGCGGCGCTCGTCTCGGATTTGGCGCGGCCGAGCGCGCCGCTTGCAGTGCAGTGGAGGTGTAAATACGTGCCGCAAATTGGCGGCAAAGATCGGCGGCAAGGCAATGGCGGCCGCCTTAGCGGTGACGCACACTGTAACGCACTGCCGTAATGCCGGCCGACACTGTCCTGCTAATTTGAAAACGAATCCCAATCCCGCTGCTGCTGTTATTCTTGATTTGCCTCCGAGGGCAGTTTTTTCTGTCTTCCGTCGCTGCATTGTTGCATGCACCGCGCTGACGGCATAGCGTTCGCATCGCACGCGAGGCGGGCAGCAGAGTCGGTTTCGTCGCTCTGTCTCTCTCGCACTCATGGGGCTTCCCGTTCAGGTGCGAGGGAGACAGAGCGACGAAAAGGACTGCGGGGCAGTGGGAATCACGACCGCCTGTCCGCCAATCGCCTCGCCGCCGTCGAGCCAATGCGGCGCCTGGCAGCGCAGCCAGACGTGCGTGTGTGCTTCTTGGCGTGTTTTCCCCACTTTTTGCCTCACGGTCACGTTCGGACGATCATTTTGAACTGTTGGAGCTGATTTTGTCTCGGAAGTGTTTTTATTATTTTTGGCCGTGTGTTGATTGGCACTCGGGCCACCATGCACCTCCGCGCCTTGTGCCTAAGCTTTGTTCGACAGCGAGTCTAACCTCTTTTCTTTCCTGTTTGTTGCAGGTGAGTATCTGCGGCACTGCTGCGTTGCCGCGGACTCCTTGGCGCCGTGGTACCGTTGCCTGGGCGGTGGGTGAGTTGGTACCGAGTGTACCAGTGCATCGCACAAGCTGCTCAAAAACGCCCCTCAGAGCGTTGTGACGCAATTTGTGACTGCCATAAAAAGCGAAAGGCTAAAAGACCGAGATGGGAATTGGACTCCTTTTTCGGGAGGCGTTTGGAAGATTAGGTTGATGCTGATTTTGGTATTGGCCCGCCGACCGCGGCGCGGCTCGTGACGGTCCCTCCACGGCGTGTCGCCTGAAAGAGTTGAGGGGAAGAGAGGGGGGGGGACACGCCGCGCGCTGGTCAGTCCGCCGCTCTCACACATGCCATTTCCATTGTCCGACACTGCGACAGCTGTCATGCAGTCTGTTTTGCTCGGATATTGGCCGCCATGCCGCGCCCTGCCTTTCCCATGCTAACAGCGCCTTCATGCTGCAGTGACAGTTTGCCCGGTGCTGTGATTGGCTGGCGTGTGCCCTGCGACACACACTGACACACACACATGACACATGGACACTGCGCGGATCGAATTAGGTGCCCTTTTGTGGAAACACTCGTCGCTACCCCTCGCATCATTACGGACGGACCGAGTCCGACGCGGCGTATTGACGGGGTCATCTCGCATCGTTTCCCAGTGGCGTGGCGGTCGCGGGGCGGGGAGTGGGCGGTGCCTTCCTTTTCTCCTCGTCACTCCACCAGCCTGCCGCCCCGCTGCCCTGCTAATCACTGCTAATGGTGGTTCTGGCGGCCACAAGTCACAATCGGGCCGTCCGGGCCGCCGACCCTCTGCCATGCCAAGCCGGCCAAGCCGCGATCTGTGGTCCGCGCCCGCCGTGCGGACTAGACCGCGGGCCCGGCCCGGCACAGCCTCGGCGCCGCGAGTGTCCAACTCGTTAGCGTGCCCTATACAACACACCGACACACACTCACTCAACTTCCCGCCCTCTCTCTCACGCACGCACCAACACACTCGCGCACACACAGAGGCTTATAGGGCCCTGGCGGCCCGCCGCGGCGACCTGTAACATGCTGCGCCTGTAATTGCAAAATGTGTACATAGTACTGTATCGAGTTTCGTTTTCCCGTTTGGGCTCTGCCGCGCATCGCGCACGCCCCAGCGCTCCTTTTTTTTCGATATTTTTTTCCCGAGTAGTTCGCCCTACCTTACTGCCACAGTGCCCCACCCACGGCTGCCGCCCGAGAAACCAAGGCAGAGCAGAGCAGGGCGAAGGGAGGTCGTCTTTCCCTTTCGTTAATTCTGGCTTGGCCGGGACCGAAGGGGCCTCGGAGGGCCTTGGCGAGGGCCTCGGCCAGGCCTCGGCGCGCTGCTGCTGCCACTGCCGCCTGATGGAAAGGCTTTTCTCTGAATATTCAGGCGCGCGGGCATCGATTAAATCAGAGAGCTCGGGACGCCGCGCCGCGCCCCGCCACGCCACGCCGCGCGTTCCGCCCACGCCGAGTTGAAGGTGCGCGGCCAACGGCATCGCGACGCGACGACGGCGGCCCTGCTGCGCCGCGCGCCACTGGGCCTCGTTCGACTTCCAACAATACGCCGCGCCCCGCCTGGCTGTTGCTTCTCAAGCCGAAAAGCTCCGCCGCGCCTCATCCTCGTTTTATATCCGAAGCAGCATCGCACAGTAGACCACGGACACACACAGACACACACACACACACTCGGTAGCGGACCGCGTGTGGGCGCCGTGCCTTGCAAACGGCCGTCATTGTCACTGGGCTGCCGCCGCCTAGCCGGTCGCACGCCCGTTCGTGTTCTCTCTGCTCATGATGCTGACTTTGTATCGGATGGCTCGTTTGGCAGCGTAGCGTCTGGAAGTGGACGCTCGCGCGTCTTACGCGCAGCGCGTGCGCCACGGACGGAAGTTGAGAGCTTCTTCTCCCTGTTTCTCTCTCTCTCTTTCAATCGCCGCCAGATGTGGTGCCAGTGGACCGCGACGCCGCCGCGGCCGGCCGACCTTCTGCCGCGTGACCCGCGTCACGGCATGGCGGGGCATGGCGGGGCATGGCGGGGCATGGCGGGGCATGGCGGGGCATGGCGGGGCATGGTCACGCTGCCGCCGCGCCGCCTCTGCAGGCTGTCTCCAAGCGGGGCGTCGCCGCTCTCTCGCCCTCTCTCTCCATCTCTCTCGCGGCCTTACGGCACGTGAGTGCGAGAAGGACAGAGCGTGCCTACACTGCCTTGCACTCGGCGCCGCGCCGCCTCCTCATTCCGCTCGAGCCGCGCTGCCGCCATGCTGCCGCACTGGAAACGAGGTCCTGCAGGCTCATTGCGGACTCACGCTTGCGTCGCTCTATCTCTCTGTCTCTGTCGCACTCACGGGGCGTCCCCTGCAGGTGCGAGAGAGACAGCGACGCAGCGACGAGGCACTGTTCGGAATCGGCCTGCATTCAACGAGCATAAAGGGAGGGGGGATGTCAATTGTTTTTCCACGGCGGTATGTTCGAAGCATGGCGCGAAGGCGGCGCTATCGGGGACAGAAAATGTCGCTCGGCGTGAAGGCGTCTTCGGGGCACGTCCGTCGGCCAGCCTCGGCTCGGCCCTCTTGGCGGCCTCCAGCCTCCGCCTCCGGGGGCCCAATAACGCGGTCCGCCGCTGCTGCGACACCACCGACGTCCCTCTCGCACTCCTACGGGACGCCCCAAGAGTGCGTCGGGCGGCGACCACCTATGCAGGCCCCGCGGCATGCCGGCGCCGGCCCCCGCGGCCACGGCGGCGTCCCCTCGCCTCCAACGGCCCCCCTAAGGCCGCGTGGAAGGGGAGGGGAAGGGAAGGGGAGGCCGTATTTCACGTGCCGGCACAGGAGAGCCCCGGTGGAGAGCCAGAGGATCCACTGCAGCCCCGGCCCGCCCCGCAATGAACGGAGCATATTTCCTCAAGCCGCGGCGCTGCCGGTGAAAATGCGCGATGAGTGAGGGCGGCCCAGGGCGGCCGGCCCGCGCCGCGCCGCGCCAAGAGGAGTAACGGCCCGTCGATACCCCGCGCGCAGGGTGGCGCCGAGTCTCTCGCGCGTGGAGTAGCGACGGGCGTTCCGCCGCTCGTTCGCCACCGTCGTTGCCCGTTTTCAAAATCGAAAGTCGTTCAGCTGGGCAGCTTCATGCAGCCAGGCAGGGCGAACGGCCGCGCTTTTGTTGCATCTCTATCGATTTATTTTTTGCGGTGGCTTGGCGGCTTGGCGGCTTGGCGCCACCCCTCGGCTGCTCTTAATCTCGGTAAAGTATTAGGCGCTGCAGTCGCTTCATTTTGAGACGCCCCGCTGACGCTGACGGCGGATAATAGTTCACCTGAGTCCGAGTGGGGGAGTGGGGGTAAAGGAGGGAAGGGGAAGAGGGCAGGGGAGGCCTTCCCTCTCCCTCGCTCTGCGGGGGCTGCTGAGCCAATTCTCCCCCGGGATGGGGAAGGGCGGTATTTTTTCAGGGGGCGGGTCGGGGGCGGGTGGCGTGTAACAAGTTTATATAAAAGTCGGTCTGGAGAGCTGGCCCGCCACAGCCACCCCGCCGGGGGCGGCCAGGGGCCCCGCCGGGGGCCGGGGGCTGTGTCCGCGGCCGGCTGCGGTAGCTGCGGTGTACTAGTGTACGTAGTGGGAGTGACACGGGCCGACCAACTTTGCGGGGGTCTCCGGCTTGCAGCTGTTTCCGGGTGCAGCCGAGCGATTCCGGAGGGTCGATTCGTCGCTCTGTCTCTCTCGCACCCCTGCGGGACGCCTCTCGAGTGCGACAGAGACAGAGCGACGGAACGGCACTCCGGAATGAGGCTGAGGCTGCCGCCTTGGCTGCTGCTGCCGCCGTCGCCCGCCTAATTAATCTTTGTCCGGGAAAAGTTTGTTCTTCAACTCGGCAATGCCGTTAATTGCTTTTTCCACCTTATCGTTCGGCCTGCCGGGCCTGGCGGGGCTGGCGGGGCTGGCAGCCAGGCGAGCAGCCAGGCAGTCTGGCAGGGCCGTGTCCGCGACGCCGCGGCCGCTGCACGGGGAGCGCAGCGCGGCGGCGAGACGCACCTCTTGTTTTTGTTTTTAATGCCAGTGACGCTCCGCGGCTGATTTGTTGTTGTTTCCGTCAAGTTTTAATGAAATGCGCGCGCCTAACGTCTTGCTCTTGTTTCCCCTTCTGTTGCAGTGGGCGGTATGAGCCGCCCCGCCAAGTCCGCGCCGCTAGCCAAGAAGGTGGCTCCCCCCGCCGTCCCGGGCGTCTTCAGGCACTCCGGCTCCTCGTTCGGCTCCGCGGGCTACTGCTCCAGCGAGGACCCCAACGACATCGTGCGAGGTAAGTCACCGGCAACCCGCGGTCTCCGCGGTCGGCGAGCGCACTCTAGGCTAGAGTGCCATCGTGGCGCGAACCGCGAGGCTCTAGCGCCGCGCGCCGCGCAGGTAGGCAGCCGGTCGCGCGCGGCACGCTGCTGTACCGCCGTGAGGGTAGGCAGCCCAACGTGCGCCCGGGTTCGGGTCGTATCCGCGCGGGCTGTGGGGCTGTGTCGGCCGTAACAGTGGCGCGTGTGCGAAACGAAGCAAGAAACGTGTCTGAGGACGATAGGGCCCCGCCCCGCCCGCCGCGCCCCGCCCCGCGCTACGAGCAGATCGTGCGATGCGATCGGGCTGCGCGGCGAGGCTCTGCTACACTGGCTGGCTGGCGCTGGGGTTGGCCTTGTGTACTGCGTACTGCGTGCGTACCTCGTACTTGCGCGCGTCACGGCGCTGTATGGCCCATACTGCGCGCGCTTATCTCGGCCAACAGTTTCCGAAAAATGGAATATAAAAGGGAACGGCGTGCACTCTGGGGACTGGCGGCAGCCTTTCGACGGCAAGGGGCGGCCGCCGGGACGGCCCACGCGTCGCGATGCAGTGCCCCCTTCGCGGATGCGCCGCGGTTCACTCGCGGACGGCCTTTTCTATTTGATTTCGATTTGATTCCCCCCCCCCCCGTAATACTGGCCTTGCGCTTGGCTCGCTTCGCTATCAGTGCCGCTATCACCTGGCGCTCTGAAACTCTGATCCCGGGGCCCGGGGCTCGGCGGGGTTGCGCGCGTAGCGTCACTGTTTTCGCGAGGCTGGCGGTGGCCGCACAGCGCCGCACAGACCGGCTGGCACCATGTCGCTGTCCTCCTTGTTCAAGAGGGCCTTCCCCTGGGCGCGCGGCGCGGGCGTGCCGCCCAAGCGCAGCCGGCAGAGCGACGACGACGACCTCGACGTCGACGACGGAATCAGGCCGTACTTTCTGCCCGAGTTTGGTCAGTCCGCGGGGCCGTCGCCGTTGATTAGCAATCTGACAAAGACGCGAAATGCCAAAGAAAAGAACAAGAAGCAGACAAACAGATGTGTGACTGTGTTGCCGTGAGTCTGATGTGAGTCTTTCCTCGTGTTTCAGATGTGAGCGACCACTCGGACATGTACGCGGCGGGCGCAGGCAAGTCTCCCGGGCAGATGGCGTACCCGGCCTTCACCTTCCCCGGGCCGCAGGGGCTGGGCCAGGCCAAGTCCGGCCAGGTGCAGCCGCCCTTCTTCCACCACCAGCTGTCGCTGCAGGAGGACCAAGGCATCGACATGACGCAGGTAAGCTGTCACTGCCTCTTTTCTTTTGTTCATTTTTTTTTAAATGTCATTTTGTTTTATTACTTCCATTTCTTCCGCGACCCGCCTCAACTTGTGGCGGCAAAAGGGAAGTCCTCTCCATTCATGTTCCTCTCTCCGCCTCTCTCTCCGCAGAGCCCCGGAAGGGACAGCCCCGGCTCCTCGGGCTCCGGGTCGGGCTCCGGGTCGCGGCACAGCACGGCCAGCCTGGACAGCGGGCGCGCCTCGGGGACGTCGGGGACGTCGTCGTCCGGCTACCACCACCTCGTGGTGCGCGGCATGGGGCTGAGCCAGGGCACGGCGTCGTCCACCCTGTCCTCGTCCTCCAGCCCCCGCTGCTCCATCTCGTCCTCCTCGCTGGGCTCCTCGGAGCACGGCAACCCAGGCCTGCACGTCGAGCGTCTGCTGCAGCAGGGAGTGCCCGTGAGTGTCTCACATTTTAATGACCTTCTTTTAAATTGGTAAAAAAAAAAACTGTCTTTTAACAATTAACAATTTATTTCGGTGTTGCAGGATTGTGAGGTCGTCTTGTCTTGGCTGCAAGATCTCCATTTCGAAGACTACTACCATCTGTTCATATCGGCTGGATATGATATGCCCACTATTTCTCGAATGACCCCAGAGGTACGTTGAGCCTTCTGATGTTTCATGGAGCACACACTCATGCTGGTACAAATATTAGTCTTACTTATGTTTTGTGTTTTTTTTCTTTTCATCAAAGGATTTGACAGCAATTGGGATTAAAAACCCAAACCACCGCAAGAAATTAAAATTTGAAATTGCCCAGTTAAATATTAACGATGGCCTTCCAGATTATATTCCTGTACGTAACTGTTTTAGATTGTGATGCAATTATTCCGTCTGTGTATTTTTTTTTCCTATGTTTTAATTCTTTCCTTGTATTAAACAGGGTTCTCTAGATGAATGGCTTCGATTACTGAGATTAGAAGAGTATGTAATACCTCTGCAGAGGCAAGGTTACCACTCTGTAGAAAATGTCACAACACTTGCCTGGGAAGATTTGGAGGATATTGGTATTGTGAAGTTAGGTCATCAAAAGAAAGTTCTTCTTGCAATTAGAAGAGTGCAAGACTTGCGAGCTGGAAAGCGCATACAACCTCCTCAGGTAAGTGCTTTTGCTTTGCTTTGTCACATGAAGATCCCAATCCTTTGACATTTCTGAGAGACATTTGATTACTCATAGAATGCATAGTGTTAGTTTTATTAGGGTGCCCATCTAAATAGAGTTAGACTTCAATTTTTCTCTTTTAAAATGACATCCTTGTATGGAGTCTAGAACAATTAATTACAATGCATGAGAAGTTCAAACCTTAAAATCTAGTCTTCGCCTTTTTGAAGCTAGTTCTTGAGTAGTAATTATGTTTCATATTGAATTTTCATTTTGTTTGTAGCAATCGTTTTTTGAATATGGGAGAAGCTATAATTCTCCTCACAATTGTACAGTCACAAACTTAAATTTATGCGTTTGGTTTTCGAAAAAAAAAAGAACTAAAAGAAATTTGCAGAAGGTTAAATATTTGGGAAGTTGAGTTCAATTATCAGAAATCCATACCTTACAATAGTCTCACCACAGCACTGCTTTGGTTTTGAAGAAGAATGTTTATGCTGTTAGCACATTTTATCAGATCAGTGTTTAACTCCACTCACAACACAATTGCTATTTCAAGATTTTGCTTTTCTTGTCCTCCTCTTGGTTTCTTTTAACAAAAATAAATGTTGTCAATGAGAAAAGTTTTAATATTTACCGGTAGTTCCTGCCAAGTGCTTTACCTTCTGCTGATACTTCTTTCGAATAAATTATTGCTAAGGACCATTTGCTGAAGAACTTCTAGTCCGAGTGGCGAGTGCTTTCCAATAAGCCCATTCCTGGCATGTTTGAAAATTAATCTATTCCGCTCTGTCATTTTCTTTGCATTTTGCTTGGAATGGATAACATGGCAGGCAATTTCTTACCCCTAGTTGTATTCCTTATAGAGGCAAAACCCTTTTTATTTGTTTACTGTTTCTGGTCTTTGGAAAAGGCATAGCATAAGGTCGGGACTTGTCCACAAAATATCCCGTGGCAATTTAAATGCCAAGTTACTTCTTATGGAGCCCTCCCATTTTGTTACTTTTCTCTCCAGAATTAAAAAAATAATAGTGGGACCTTTATGTTTCAATACTTAATTATTGTTTTACTTCCCTACCGATCAAATTTCTCCTGCGTGGGAAGTTTGGCATCATCGTAACTAGAGCGAGCACGTTATGTTTTGGTTTCCTAGGACGTGTTTGTCACTGAGGGCAGCAGCCTCAACTCCCCGGATGAGGAAGCGCTTCCCCCACTACCGCTCGTGCACAAGGCGTTTCACACCTTCCACCAGCCCTGGGAGACAGACCCGATGCGACAACAGCACCACATGGTCCTGCCTGCCTCCGCATTCACGGTGCACCAGCCGATGTACTCCACCTCTCCCGAGTTTGTCCCCATCAAGGTAGTGAAGTGAAGTCAAGTGACTTCCATGTGTTTGTCTTAGAAATTATTTTTCAGTTTTATATTTTGTTTACCTGATCCAAGGGCAAGGATGTGATGTTTTAATTTCCATCTCCTCCAAATCATGCAATCTTTTTTGGAATTGTTGGTTGAAATGATTTTTTGTGCACATTTATAATTTTTTGGCTGTGTTGGTGTCTTGTGCATGTTGTTTGCTGCACTGTGGGCATGGCAAGGAAATCTTTTTTTAATTGAAATTACAAGCAGTTGGTTACAGTATTGCTCATCAACAGCCTTTTATGACGATGCTTGTAGCTTTTTCTTGTCCCTGTTCTTGTCACTACTTGTTCTTTTTACTTCTCCCTTTAAATTTGCACAACTCTTTATCTTTTGCTGAATATTACCATAATTAGTATTCTACGATTTAATTCAGTTCTCATTTGTAGGTGATTAAATTCTGAACAAGAACTTATTTTTAAACTTTTAAACAAATATTAATTTAGGTTTTAGATAGTTAAGCAGTAGTTCGATTTTCACTAAGAGTACTCTTGCATTTGTTTTTAAATGCTTCATCCATAATATTCTTTTTCTTTTTTTTTTACAGATTCGAGGAGGCAGAGGAAAGTCTTTGGAAAGCTTAGAAGATGGCAGTGAAGTTACCCATCACACGTTCAGTCCAGAAAACACCCAGACGTTTTATTATCAACACGCTCAGCCAGCCGTGGTAAGGACAGTTCTTGTTGGAGGGGAGGAACGGGTGTTAAGCTTGCAACATTCGTCTCGTCTCACCTGTGTGGCTCTCTCTTTCCCTCAGCCCGGCTGGAGGCGGAGCTACGACGACGGTGACCTGACGCCCACCAACGAGCTGGCCAGCATGGCGCTGCACGAGGGTGGCGGCACGCTGCCCAGGCCGCGGGGCCCAGGCAGGCCGCGCCCCGTCGCCAAGGTGACGGCCAACACGTCGTCCTTGTCGTCGTCGTCCTTCGCCAGCCAGACCACCCTGCTGGCCCGCGAGTGGGACAGCCCCCGCAAGCGGCCGCCCTCGCCGCCCAAGCGGCAGTCGTCGTCCGGCGGCCGGTGCGACCTCAGCGACTCGAGCGACAGCGTGGACGGCGTGGCCCTGGGTACCAGCGGCAGGCTCATCACCACCACGGTGGAGCTGCACCACCCGCTGCCGGCCTACCCCAGCCCCTGCAGGCCCAGCCCCTCGCAGGACAGCTTCGACGACCTGCCCTTGCCGCCGCCGCCGGCCCCGTCCACGCCGCCGTCCGCCTCCGGGCCGCGGCAGCCTTCCTGGGGCAGCAGCGCGCAGGAGGAGATGCTGATCGCCAGCCTGGCCAAGCAGCCCGGCCGGACGGGCTCCGACGCTAGCTTCAAGGTGAGGCTAGCGGCCTGCGGCCTGCCCCTCCTAGTCCTCCTGGCCTCCTAGCCCCACCCTCCTAACAAAGGGTGAAATTATTATTCCCACAGCACATTAAGTTAACACTTTGTTTCCTTTTCATTTTTAGTCAAGTTCAAGCACGGAGTCTGATTCACTACCCTTTGCCAATGAGAATGCCGGAACCATCAAGCAAAGAGCAAACCGGCCACATCCAGCATTGTCAAGCCTCGACAGCAAAGAAGGAGGTAAGAATAACATACCATACTTTACCATACTCATGCTTGATGTTCCTTTACGGGGTGTAACTTATATTTCCTAATTTTGTTCGTTTTATTTCAGGTTCACACAAGCAGACAACACAACACAGGCCTTCTATGATTGACATGTATGTACTATTTAAAAAAAAGCAACTCGGCAGAGTTTTTAGAAATAAAGCACTCATAAACAGCTTGTTTTAATGGGTTTTTTTCTGTATTTCAGGAAGAAGGATGGTCCACAGGAGCCCTCAGATGTGCTCAACGATATTGGAAATATGTTAGCAAACTTAACAGATGAACTGGACGCCATGCTAGAAGAAGAAAAGCGGCAAGGTCTTAACAACGATTAGTTTTAAATGAAGAGATCTGTGATCTATGCCTGGCAGTTTCCAGTCATTCTATCATTGTTAATATATTTTTATTGTCTTTTGTTTTTTAAGCACTGATCAGAAGTGCTAAGAGTCTATGATGACTCAAATATCTGTGATCAAAGTTGTCTGTCCCTGTGATTTTCCCCAATTGCATTTTATGTGGCCATTGGTCTTAAGTGCTTGTATATCTTTTGTTTTTATGTTCTTTAATCATTTTTGTTGTGGAACATTCACTTTAATTTGCTGGTTTATTAGTTTATAGTACCTGATACTGATCAAGTGCCATGAGCTTGTGCCGCAAGGTAAACTGTGCTGATTGTGCCATTACACAAGTTTGCTTTGACTTAAGTGCTTCTTAGCCTGGACTGTTTAATTGGAGGAACAAAGCATTTGAGTCATTATTATTATTAATGAGAAACAAACCAGTCATTACTATTGTATTGTTATATTTATCATAAGCTTTTCTTTTTTATACAATGTAAAGAAGAAGTAGCTGAGTTCTTATAGCAGAAGCAGGTGCCCTACTTCTTTTTGTTGAAATCTTGTTATTCAGATTTTCATTGCCTTGAGAAGGAGAGCGAGAGATCCTGCTTTCATGAGTTGATGTTGATAATCTTTACAAAATCCATACTGGTGCACTATTGAGATAATTTAATTACCAACTGTGGCAATATGTAGCTGTGTCACAATATTTTGAATTGAGACACTAAGTAATATGTTTGGAGAATCAGCATTACTAATTAACAACTGTTGGTTATTGACTAATGACTGAAACTCATTTGAATTTGTTTGAAAGCAGAGAAACTGCTTTTAATGTGACAGTTTGCTCTTGTCTTTCTTCCAGTTTTTTGAAATTTTTTTTCTATGGCACACTAACACTGGCATTATATTTGAAACTACGCCCACATATCGAGTCTGTGATGCTATGTGCAATGTCTGAAAAAGATAGAGGAAACCACATGGTTGTGGTAGACACTTTTTGTGAATACAAGTTGATGTTTGTCCCGGATGTAATTTGAGCACAAAACCTTCTTATGCATGGAGATTATATGTTCTCTTAGTAGTGTGTGCATCAAACTCAGCACATATTTGGCATTGAAGCTTCACCATATTTTTATGTAGGTTTCAGTACAAAATGTGAATACTAATCACAGCATTCTTTTTCCATTCTTTTGGGTTATTTCTGAAGTAGGTGGGCTACATATCTGCTGCTACTTGGAAGGAAACTTTAATCCGAAGTTATGTAATTTTAAAATGTATAAATTGTGTACATGGCACTGTATCAAAACATGTGCTTCTCTTCATTGTGTTGAATATTGTAGAAATTGCGTTTATGCTACGCAGCAGTTATCTGTATGTAACCATTTGTTTACATGAGATATTAAGAAGACTGGTGTAGATTTGTTTAAAAAGGTATAAAATGTTGCAAAGATTAACAGTAACACTGTAGTTGTAGGTTGTTAAAGAAAGTATTGAGTAAAACCATTGTATTTGTAGATAAAGCAGAATTTAATTAAAAACAGTCTTGCCTTAGTATTACTCATCATTCCTTAAAAAACCCTCTATGTTAAAATTTTCTAACATTTCCATCACAATACTAGCAATACTGCACTCAATCAATAATAAAATATAAAGAAAAAATTGTGGAAACATAATAATCATATATGATTATACATTATATACTAGCAATAAAGCTTTCATCACATTGAGTTGCATAAAATACAGTCGTAAAATAAAGTATTGCCTTAATCAATTAGGCAGCACTAGAATTTCCACACATAATTTACCATACACAATTGGCAATAAGTAACTTCATGCAGCGGGGTTATTTTCTGTTTTGTCTGGATGGGCTTTGCGGGTATGGCCCTTTAGCTTGTCCTTCCTTTTAAATTGCTTCTCACAGTGCTTGCAAGTTTCAAAACTATCATCATGCTTACTTTTCACATGCCGATTTAAATTACTTTTCTGAGAAAAGGACCAACCACATTCTTTACATGAGAAGGGTTTCTCCCCGTATGAGAAAGCATATGTTTTTTCATCTGTCGGAAAGGCTTGTGACATTTATCACAGTATGTATTCCCCACCGACAACTTAGAACTTTGACATTTCCTGAGGCTTCCTGCTTATCTTTTGGTGCTGGGCACTCTTCAGTTTGACACATCTCTTGCATCAAATGAGGGCCGTCATGCGTCAACTCAATGAAATCCTGTGGAAAAATGCAATTTTTAATGATTCTGAGGAAACCTTTCTTGGCAGATAACCTATCTGAAGTAGGTATACCTCATCGGTCCAGAAGTCTTCAGGGAGGGTCGATGGGAGAGCCATAGCCATAGGGCCCTCGGGCCCCAATTCACATAAATCCCACATGATTTTTTCATCCATTCTGGCTAGCAAACCATACCTAAAAAAAATAAGTCAAGATGCAATGCAAGCAAACGATGCACAACTACCACCAACAAAACGCATGAAACACCCTGAGCAAATCTCACTTACGTTCACTAGTTAATTTACGTCCTTTCTTTTTTTTTTTAGTGCTAGACGGCGAAGAAACAATTCCGTTATTTAGATGATTTCATTCAGAGACTCAAGTTCCAGTCAACATCCACAGGTGCCTCGGCAGGTGCAGAAAACACTAGAAATAATGCTGATAAGGAGCACCAGGGGCACCCCGAACCAAACCCGGGGCACCCTGGGCCAAACTGAAACAAAAAAAGCGTTAATGTTTACACTCAAAAGAAAACTGAAGACCACTTCTGAGTTTTTTCTTGAACCTCTCTAACAGTTCTTGATCATTATTTCCTCGTTCAATGATTTCCGACGAAAGCTTTTAGGCTCTAGGTCCCGAGAACAGAGGCCGATGGATTGCCTTGTGGTGGCAGCACTGTAGCGACAGCGCAGCAGTGTTGCCAGATACGCGGGAAGAAAGATGCCGAGTGTGCTGGCCGTGCTGGCTGCTCATTGTTGGCGTCGAAAGGAAAATGCACCTGCAGGCTCTTTGGCTGGGCAACTTCTCTTTTACAGAGCTAAGAGGTGGCTTAGAGTCTGATCGAGGGAGACCATCCGCTTTGGACGCCGGCGCACCAATGGTGGGACTTTTCGTGTGCGTTCGTGGCAACACTGGTCATTCTTCCCGCCAATCGTTTGAACCCGGTGGAGTCCGGCCGTCAGCGCCCAGTCGAAGTCGGCAGCAACATGACAGCAGCGAGCACGTGCTGCACGTGGTGAAGACAGCGGAGGAAAATGAGGATAATGTGGAGTGTATCGAACCCACGACTGCCGGTTTGGGACGCTAAAATGGCTGGTTATCATAAGTATATTGTTCTCAGGTCAATAATTTCACAAATTTCATTGAGCGATTGCAAATTACAAAATAAAGGGCCGCCCGTGCCATCGGTCACACCGTGGTCGCACGGATTTTCGGGACTCGCTCGCGCTGCTCACGCTAGGCTAGGGCTGCGTCATGAACAAGTCGTCTCCGAGAAGTCTGAGACGAGGGCGCGGTTGGTTGTTCGAGATGACTTTTCAGAATCGTTCGGTTGTGAGCGCTCTCCACGATCCCTTGCAAGTGACCCTTCTGTTTTGATAATTACTGAGCGTCGTGTCAATGAAATTTCAATTGAGTTTATGATTTCCGTGGTGACTTTTCGATGGGTTAGCTAGGATAAGAGGAACAACGAGCATGATTCAGATACAACACATTTATTCTTCCAAAGATAAGTACAGGGATTCTTGTCAAACCAAGCATATATTGAACACAAAAACAAATGACAAGATAATACACTTCCATCTCCCATGCAGCTAAAGAGGATCTGTCATAGGCCTTGTGTACGGAATGGGGTTGAAGGAGAAACACAGAGAGGAAAGACGCAAGGAAAGGCGGTAAACGCCGCACTCCCGTTCAATTGGCCTTCGAGGCCTCAGCGGTGGAGATGTACAGTACCTTCCAGTGCCGCCACCATGACGAGTCAGAAAAGCAATCAAGAAACCCGCACACGTATCCCCAGAGTCACCACTGCAATCAACGGACCGTTCCCACACCACCAAAGACAAAGTAGCCTCTTTTTAAATTTTTTTTTGTGAAAAATGTAGCAAAGTAGATAAGAGGGTAATATTCACTTCTCTGTAAGGGTTATAGCTGCCGTGCCCTTGTTATGCAAGCAAGGGGTTCTATCGGAAAGTTCCGAAGCATCACTTACCCCCGTATTTGAAGACACGCACTTTGGTGGAAGCGCCTTGTCTGGAGCACGACTGCGCACCCCCCCCCCCCCCCCCCCCACAACCATCATCCCGCCCTCGTTCCGAACCTACCTCCTGCCCCATTGCCATTTCCCGCAACCAAACAAACTTTCCTAACGCAAAGGCGGCCGCCCTGCCCGCCCTGCCCGCGAGCGCACCCGACTTCATAGCTTCAGGGACTCTAATTGTCGGCTGCGAGGCTCTGGCCTGCACGGCCTGCGTCTGGACTCGGTCTGGACGCACTTCCGCTGCGTTCCGCTGCCGCCCAATAGTACCACAGCGCCCTGATCTTGTCAACATCGGGGACCCCGGGCGGGCGGGCCAAGCAAAGCGCGCCAAAACATAAACAAACGAAACTGAAATCCCTTTCCCCGCGCGTTCTAGGGCCGTGCCGGCCGTGCGGCGACGGAGACAAGTTCGCCCTGCAGTGGTTGGTTTCTTCAAAGAGACTCTAATTGAATACGAAATCCAATAGCATCACACGTCCCCAAAAGTACCACTGATGGCGCTTGTCACAGTCAGCCCGGAAAACGGGGAGACGGCGAGAAGCAACTAGCGTTCGCGGCGCAGGCGCACCTTACTTTTCAGAGGCAAGAGGAAGACTTGTCGGAAAATGAATGGGTTTTCCAAAAGGTTAGTTCGCGATCCTCTCTATAAGGGACTCTAATTGGACACACCGAGGAAATCCAATAGCATCATACGTCCCCGAACTTTGCTCTGCAAACTAGAAAGACAATTTTGAAAACAGGAAACGGCGGAGTTGCGCTTCTCCCCGAGGACTCTAATTGGCTCTCTGAGGAGCAATAGCATCACATGTCCCCATAATACTCCCTTCCGCCGTTTCAAACAAAAGACCCGATAAGGCTTTCCAAATTACCGTCCAAAAAGAAGGCGCCCCGCAAATGAAGCTTACACTAAACACACCACCGCGAGATGAAAGCAACCGATGGAGGCCAGAGTTTACCCACAGATGGTCTGCTTTAAGAGAGCTCTAATCGGATCTCCAGATCCAATAGCATCACTTGCCCCCGAAGGTTCCACTGCAGTCCTCTGCGCTCCACCATAAGCATACCGACTACCTCAGGTGCATCCCGCCTTTGAAAATAGCTCGTATAAAACATCGGGACGGAACTCTGATTGAACATAAAGTTCAATGGCATCACACGTTCGCCCGAGATACTCGCCATTTTCAGCATGAGGTCGGAATCGTCTAGACACCTGTTCAACATTCCAGATCACTAGTGATCAACCTAAAACACCCTTCCCTTTCGCCACATTTTTCTTATCGACTAACGGTCCACGGTGGGCTATGTTAATGTGGAGACTCTAATTGAACGGTCAATCCAATAGCATCACACGTCCCCTGGTAACCACTGTGAGACCGTGAAGCGGGCCGCGAAGACCGCGAAGCGAAGCAGAAACCAAGCATGCCAACCCAACACGCCGGGGGAATTTAAATTTTGATAAAATGAAAGAAATCTCCTAAAAGAGGTGAATGACAAAATCGTTTTAGCAACCATTTCCGACATTGTCTGACTTTACATGTAGAGGCGGACATTCTAATCGAACACGAAGTCCAATAGCATCATGACGTCCCGAAATTGATAGCCACTGCCGGAATCGGTTGACGAGGCGGACTCACAGGGAAGACCGGAAGTGGGGAGAAATTCGAACGGAACGGGGGAATAGGAGACCGGAAGTGGGAAAAAACTCGAACAGAAGCGGGGAAACCGGAAGTAGGAAGAGACTCGAACGGACCCAGCGAAGTCAGCAGCCACGTCTCCGCGAGCTCAGCCGAAGACGACTCGGACGCGTCACGCCCGCGGGGCCGGCCGTCACGGCGACGTCACGGCGACGTCACGACACTGTGAAGACGCCGTCGCGGCCGTCGCGGCGGAACGCTCGGGGCGGCCCGCGTGCCACGTGCGGCGTGCCATGCAGGGAAGGGTCTCTATCCGACTGTTTTCCAAGCCGAAAGCATCACAAGTGCCCAAAACTCTGCCGCATGCACGGGGCCGCCCGATGACGCGGGCATGACGCGGAGCAGGCGGAGAGGGCGAGACGACGGGGCCGACGGGGCGGACAGAGTGACGTCAACGCCCTGGTGTCACGGCGTCACTGACAACGCGCTGGTGACGACGGCGACGCCATGCGGGTCGCCCCGACCACCACAGGACCCGAGAGGTGGCCGGGCGAGCTGCATAGTGCCGACGGGACCCAGTCACGAACCAACGAACCAACGAAACGGGGAGAAGGCGAAGGAGGGAGGGACGGCGTGAACCTCATCGTCCGGAGAGCACCGACCCCAACCCTATGCAAAAGGGGTGGAAAATAAAAATGCCCTCAGCTGTGCGGGAGTTTCAGTCTTAAATAGTCGAATCTCAAATCAACTGCGAGAAGTACTCTACTCGATCCCACACCGAACTACTACGCAAAGAGACGGGCAAGAGACGAGAACAGAAGGGAAGCGGAAACGAAAGAATCTCCTGCGCCTAAAGCGCCCGCCGACGGACTCACTTGGTACTAGCATTCCCAAGGGGCCGCCTAGCCTGCCGCCTGGGCGACTTGGACCTGGTACTAGCATTCCCAGGCCAGTCGACCGCCGCCATGCCGCTACATGCCGCCATCTGGGCAAACGCTCTCTGCCTCAAGTCATTCGGTACTAGCATTCCCGAATACGTAGACAGGCCACCACGCACTCCTTCGCCATTCGGGAAGATTTGTGCATTAAACCAGAGACCACCACAATTTTTTTAAGTTTTCTAAAAAATACAGATTACTATGTGAATGACAGAAGTTTACAGCGCTCTAAGTTGGTTTCCAGATTAAGGCAGGCAGCAGAGCAAAATTTTGACATTTTAGGAACTGCACTCAACATCAGCAAAATTAATCATGAAAATAAAATCTTGATAAGCCTTTTTACACTTAATGAAGCACACATCCTATTCTCATTCACGCCAGCACTTTGTCATATAATTACAATATTCATTTAAAAATAAATAATACTATGTATTTGAATTTAAAATGTAATAGAGTGTAGTCGTTTTCTTGAGATCTTGCTCGAGATAATGTACCTTACAACAAGATAATTAATTGGAAGGTTGGACAGAAAGTGGAGGCGACTTGATCAGTCCAACATTCAAACAGACAATCGAAAAACATCGAACAAGATCAATCCTTTTTCATTTAACTTTCCACAATCTCTTACCATAGTAAAAAACAATAAATTTCAACTTACTACCGTTAGATGTTATCAACTCATCCCGTCCTTCCACATCCATTACTTTAAGATGCTTGAACTTCCGAAGTTCAGAGCGTATCGCTGAAAGATGTCAGATTTTGGCATTCTAAATCATCACATAAAGCAAAGCCATCACTTTTCCATCACAATATCGTTCCTTTCTAAAGAAAGCAAACATTCCATGATAAGCTACAAAGAAACAAACCAATATCTTCTTTCTGAGGGAATAAAATAGAATAAATATGCGTACACAATGTTTCTCTACTATGCATAAATAGGCCAGCAAATGTTGTGGATAATAATAATAAGTCATACATATCAGGAATGAGACAATAAGAAAATATTATGGAATACTGCATATTGATAAATAAGGAATGTCTTTTACCAGTGCAATGATAAACTTTGTCAATAAATAAATGTCACAGGAAAAAAGGGGGAAGTTCCAACCAACAATAATATAAGTGTAGACAGCCAGCCAATGAGCTGGTCAAGAAATCCATGTAGGAAATTAGCAAGAGAAAAAAAACAACATCAAACTTTTAGGAGTGGACTTGTCATGACATTCTATGACATCAAGAAAGAAGTTAGGTGTCAGTTTTCTATTCTCTCCAGAAAGGAACAGCGCATTTAAGCGGATCCCCTCAGTCAATTAGAAAGTAAGCATATGCTTCACATGAATTTGACAAAACAAACAAAGATCATTTTTCTTGTGCTACTCGACCTAACATCTAATTGACATAAACACAGAAAATGCAAAATAAGAAAACTTACATAAAAATAAATAAACATTAAATAAAAAAAAACACAGAAGCAGTTCTGTTTGTACTATTAAATTTGGCTTTTTAAGGAAATAAAAACAATATTGGATTGGATTTGGTTTGTATAAGTTTTGTTGAATGACGCCTTCCTTCTACATTAGCTAAATGAACTAAAGCTACGGCTTCTCGTGACTTTCTAAGACGGAACTTACTAAAAGTGCTTTCAAGAAGGTAGAGAGACTTTAGCTCTAGGTCTTAAGAAGCTTATATTCATAATAAACATAGAAGAGATGTTACACTTTCTCAAGTGACAAAGGAAGTAGATAGCAATACTTGTCACAATGAATAATTACCTAGATGAATAGGCAAACCTGCCTCTAGAATATATATCCTGCTTGTAAGCAGCCTTAGTAATTGAAAATCAGAACCTGCATGCACAAACTAGGGTTCACACACAAATTAAAAACATGTCATAATAACAGTAGTGATACGTCATACGCCGGAGCTCGTAGCTCAGAGAGCGACACAGAGAGATATACATAGATAGATACAAGGAGTCGCGCGCGCAAGGGCGGCGCACTGCAAGGAGTAGGACTGAGACTATGATAACGACTAGATCATTCTGTTATGGAAAGGAAACAGGGAAGGGTTAAGCAGCACCGGGATGCGAGAGAGAGATCAACCCGGCCGGCCGGCCTCCCCTTAGGCCTTCTTCTTGGGCTTCTCCTTCTCCTTCTCCTTCTCCGGGGAGGTGGGGGGCGGGGCGACGGCGGTGGGCGGCGGGGTGGGCTGCGCCGGCAGGGCCTTGAGGATGGCGTGCACCTCGTCGGCCACGGCCTGCAGGCAGAACTCGAACTGCTCCTTGGACTCCACCATGTTGGCGCGCTGGTCTCGGATGTGCTCCAGCGTGGCCGCGATGTCGATCTCCTTGGCGCCCTTGGCCATGCGGTTCAGCACCATGTCGATGAGGCAGTACGTCCCCGTGCGGCCCGCACCGTCACTGCAACAGGCCGGGCCGTCAGCACGCCGACAACAACAACCACCACAACAACAAAAGCAAAACGGGTGCCTCACCTGCAGTGAACCACGATGGGGCAGGAGCGACCGCGGTACGACTTGTTCACTTTCCTGCAACAGAAAACAAAACATGAGCCGAACCGTGCGCAACTTGGGCGATATGATGGAAGGTACGCCTGTCACGCTTGTCTGGAAGCCCTACCTGCGGAAGTCCAGCAGAGGCTTGGTGTTCGGGGGCACGCCGTGGTCGGGCCAGGACAAGAAGTGGAACTGCGTCACCGTACGCGTCTCGCCCGTCTTGAGGTTCTTCAGGTAGAAGCTGCGGACCAGGTAGTCGTCGCACCAGATGTGTTCGCTCACCAAATGCACCTAGACAAGTGGAGGTTAAGTGGGGGTGCGAGAGAGACGGAGCGACGATACGACTACTCAAAATGGCTGGGCTGAGGCAGCTCACCTCGTAGATGTGGTACAGCTCGGAGCCCTCCTCGGGCCAGTAGCGGTGGCACATGGCCGTGCCGTTCTCCGTGAGCCTGCTCAGCATGACCATGACCACGCTGCCCTGCTCCCACACCAGCTGCCACAGGTCGGCGGCGGTGTGCGGCAGCGGGCCCTGCGTCGCCAGGTAGGCCGGGTTGCGCGGGTCGTGATCCGTCTGCAAACACAGAGGGCAGGGCGAGGGTTCGATCCCGGCTTCTCCAAATCCCAGCGGTACTTCATGTCTGTTGGACGACACGTACGATGGTGGAGGCGTTGATGTAGTCGGAGCCGGTGGCGTTGGCGAGCTCGTTCAGCACGACGCGGGAGTGGTCGTAGGGCAGCACGTGCGGGAAGTAGCGGTTCTTCTTCGCGTTCTCAGTCTGCGGAAAAAGAACAAACAATTACACCCCAACTAATCATCCAAAAGATTTGACCGTAATTTAGAGTGAAGAGAAGACGACGCTCACTTTCTGCGCCACCGTGGCCGCGCAGGGCTCCGCCTCGTAGGCGCACAGCCCCTGCCACTCCTGGTCCAGGCGGTCCTTGTTCTTCAGGTGGTCCTCCATGTAGGCCAGCACCATGTGCCCGGTCGAGATGTCCATGTTGGTGAGGGCGGGCTCCTCCGTCCAGGAGCTGGTGGAGGAGCGGGACGAGGGCGAGTTGTTGGAGCCCTCCGACTCCCTGGACAGGCTGGCGAGGCGCTGGTCGACGTGCATGGGGTCCGGGTGGGCGCGCGCCTCGTTCTCGGCCTTCTTGGCCATGCGCGCGCGGCACAGGTCCTGGTAGTCCTTGCTGGCCTCGGTGTCGGGGGCCGCCATGCCGCGCAGCTTCTCCCGCGACCGCTGCACGCGCTGCACCGCGTAGTAGGTGACGGCCGAGATGACGGCGGCCGAGAGCGTCACGCCCAGCACCACGCTGCCCAGCAGCAGCGCGTCGGACTGCCAGCCCACGGCGGGGCTGCTCTGCACCAGCGGCATCTGCTGCACGACGAGGACCACGTCAAGCACCGCACCGGCCTCAGCGAGCGAGCCAGAGCGCCTTACAAAGGCCGGGTAGGCAACTTGCGGGCGAGGCGCGCCGCTGCGCAGTGGGTTGCCTACCCGCTCGACCGCAGGCGCTAACTTAAGGCTACTCTTCTGGAGGTTTGATTCAACTTACTGTCCTGCCGGCCGTCGCTGATTGGATGTCCACGCTGGTCCTCTTCTTGATCTCTTCCTTGTTCTCCACTGGAATCACAGAGAGGGCAAGGGGTCACTACTTGACGAAAATTTCTGTTTTGAGTCATTTACCTTACAGAGAAGGATACTAACTTATCTGCCGGGCCACCTCCGAAGCGTTGAGGGTGGAGGTTGCGGGGTTCACTTTGAACGACACAGCATCGTTGAGAGTTATACTGAAAAATAAACACGCACAGGTATGAAAACCAGGCTCCACTGTTCCAGTCTGGGTCAGAGACGCATGCTCGAAAAATGCACAACACACCACGACAGAGTCAACCAACGGTGCCTGGAAGGCAAACAGTACGTGCTATCGCCAACTCCAAGTGAACCAACCTTCCAACAAGACTAGAAAAATACAAAAACGAACCAGATGCGAAAATTGCCTGAAAAACGCTGTGCGATTTACCTAGAACTGTGACGCAGCACATTACATTTCATCAGTGACGGCAGTTGACTTGCTTTTGTTTTCGTGTGATGAGGTAACATAGGTGTTGCGAGGGCTGGGGAGTGAGAGACAACGTACAACGGTCCATGCTCTTACTTTGGGCTGTGTGCTCCTCAAACTACGCCAACGCCGTGAACGTGTTGTTGCCAAAGTGGCGGGTGCTGGTGCGTGCTCAGAGACAACGTATGGGAAGCAGTGCGAGGAGGTGGACAGGAAACAACGAAAAGAGAAAGGCCAATTGGTCGCCTGCAACTCCAACTTGACGTCAAGTTTCAGTTGCCTGGACGAATTGATTTTTTCTTTTCGCCGTAGAAGAAGAGTCGACAAAGTATACTTAAAAAGAAGCGATGTGAGAAGAACGGTGAAGAGAGGATAGAGAAAATAAAGAATGGCCGACCAGAGTGTTAGCTGACCAAAGCAACGCGGGTATATGACATGAGAAATGGAGTATGTGCAAAGTATTGGTGGACTAAAGTTATTCATAAACAATTGAATTAAGTCACGAAAATTTTAATTCGGGTAAATATTGCCGTCGGCTAGAGAAACAGGGCCGGAATGAAACTATAGATTGGAATTTAGCTACCACGATTAGCCGATTGGGGCGGTCCAAGATTAGATAGACAGGTTGTCACAGTCACGATCATAGAGCTAGATAAAAACAAAGGCAGGACCGGAACATTGCGCGCGTTATTTCCGGCCTAGACCAAATTTGAATCCGATGGAAACTTCAATTTTGATTATTCCAAATAAAGCTAACCGTAGAGGTTAGTACCTTGATGTGAGTATTTTAACGGTTTTAAGGTATGATCAGCTAAAAATGTACACGATGTCAGCCAACGCCCTGGGGGCGTGTACGGGAGGGTCCTTCGGGGCTCTCTCTGGGTCCCTCCGTCCTGAGGGCCTGGGCCTGGGGGCGTCCCTTGCAAGCCCTTGCAAGCCCTTCCGGCCCCTTCACACTTACCGGCGCATGCCGAACGCAGAGGGCATCTGGTTTAGAGTGGCCGCGAGCACATTGATGAGTGAGTCCCCGTCCGCCCAGGTCGACACCCTGAACGGCAACCAACGGCAACGCGGTGCATTCAAGTCAGGTGTCAAAGGACGGCGAGGAAGAGAAAGCACCACATGGAGTGAGAGAGAGAGAGAGGGAACACGGCGCGCCAAGCCCCAGACAGTTGAAGCGAGACAGAAAGCTTTGTCGGTTGCTTGCCCCGGAACGCTACCACGGCCCACACAACACGAAGTTTGTTAGAAACGCGAAACGCGCCGTGAGTGGTACGCCCCCTAAGGTATTCCAAGCTGTCAAGTGCGCACTATGTAGATTGGCTGGAAAGTAGAAAGTGAGAGTTGCACGCGGGATTGTAAGAAATCCACTAGAACCATTCGATTTTTTTAAGTTGTTTAGTCTTGAAATTTATGGTGTGGGCGGTGAAATGCATGTCGCGCTAAGAGGTCGCTCTAGGTGACAACGAACAAGGACAGGGCACGAGGGGACACGCTAGAGTCACGCTAGAGTCAGACTAGTCACGCTAGAGTCACGGGGCCGAAAGAACACCAGCCAACTCACCCGTTCTTAAACTTGACGCTGACGATGTTGTGGCTGCGGGTCGCCTCCATGTCGTCGGAGTATGGCGGCTTCTTGTGCTGAGGAAGTCGTCACAACAATCAGGTGAGGCTCCACGCACGGCAACACGCACGACAAGACAGTGCTCTACTCACGGGCGGCGAGGCGTGGATGGCTTCGTAGCGCGGCTCCCCCTTGACCTCGTTCTGCGTCACACTGCCGGACCGCTTCTCCTCGTCGTGACCCTGCGGCAAAGTCAAACAGTCACACAGTGGCTCCGACGCACCGCGGCAACCTCGAGACCCGAACCACTCACCCGCTGGAAGAAGTAGTTGTTGACGTTGTAGCTGGGGCCGGGCTTCTTGACGTCCAGGCGCTCCTGGCGCTCGAAGCCGCGCCACTCCTTGAGCAGCGCGTCCAGGCTGCGTCCCTCCAGCGTGTCGGGCCGGTCTGCGTCACGGGGAGGGGCACGGAGTGAGACACGGGCGGTGACACGACGCGCGACCGCGCGACGCGGCGCGGTGCAGCCCGGTGCATCGCGCCGCGTCGTGCAACAAGTGTGCAGCGGTGCAGCGCGTCTAGCCAGAGCGGTACAGCCTTCGGCACAGATAACGCCGAAGCCGCATGCCGCACAAGTAGAGCAATCACCAGCCCCCCTCCCCTCCCCCGAAGCGAAGATAGTGCCAATGACGTCGTCACGGCTGCAGCTGCAGTCGCACCAACTCCAACTCACCGGTCTGCTGGTCCGGCAGGAACACCAGGCCGCCCTCCGTGTAGGCCCTGCCCATGGCGCCGGGGCCAGCGCGGTCGACGGCGTCCTCCTCCGCCTGGATCTCGTCGGGGACGCTGTTCTTGTCGTCGGCCGGGTAGCGCTCCAGCAGGTGCGACAGCTCCTTCATGGCCTGGTCGGCCTCCTCGGCGCGCTCCTCGCTCGCCTGCTCCTGCTGGCCGCGCTGGCGTGAGTGCGCGTCGGGCTGCGTCTGCTGCACCAGCTGCTCTTCCTGCTCGGGCTGCCCCACGGACGACACGGCCTCCTCGTCGGCGGAGCCGCGGCGGTTGGGCCGGATGAACACCGGGCCGCCCGTCAGCGGCATCCTGGCCAGCGGGCTGGAGGGAAAGGGAGCAGGTCAGAAACGGTGCCAACGGACCACGCGCCAGGCGACAGTGTTTGCTGAGACTTACCCGAAGCCGCCGGGCTCCACGTCGGTGTCCATCCACACCTCCGGGTCGATGTCACCCTCGCCGTCGTCGTCCTGGTCGTTGATGAAGCCCGGCTCGGTGGCCACGTCCTTGGTCTCGAGGCCGGCGCGGAACGAGTCCGGGGTGTTGTAGAGCTTGCTGAAGCCGCGAGGCGCTGGCTCCGGCCCCGACCACGGTCCGGGCTCCTGCGCCTCCTGCAGGTCCCACACGTCCTCCAGCAGCAGCGGCTCGTCGCCGGCCTCCACCACGCGCGGCACGGCCACCACCTCGGGCAGGGCCTCGTTGAGGAAGGGCAGCGCCGAGTCGGCCTCGCCGCGGTACTCCAGGCCTTGGCGGAACGAGGTGGGGGTGTTGTAGTGCGCCGAGAACATGTGCAGGTCCTCGTCGCCGTCCACCTCGTTGGCCTGGGCCTCGGCCTGCGCCTCCGCCTGGGCCTCGGCCGCCTGTTCTTCGGCCTCCATCAGCATCATGGCCAGCTCAGAGATGGCCCTGCAGACACAATCACTGCCGCTTGGATCACAATGCACAGATATTCCCCGCCACCTGGTTCCAGAGCATCGTTTCGTCTGTCTCTCCCGCTCCCTCACGGGACGCCGCATGAGTGCGACAGAGACAAACCCTCCGGAATCGGGCGGCTGGCGATGATGGCTGGCGCGGCACACTTACGAAGCGTCATCGTCGTCGTCCTCATGGCGCACCGTGCCGCGTTCCGGGGGAAAGCGGCGCCTGTCCAGAAAGGGCAGGGTGGTGTCCTGCTCCACGTTGCCGACGTTCATCAGCTTGCGCATCGCCCTGCGCGCGAGGAAGCACACATTCACATTAGGCCCTGCGCACTCCGGCCGACGCACACATTCACATCCACCCCTTTCCCTGCGCGGCCGAGAGGCGGCGCTTTGCGGTGCTTCGCGAGGCTTGGCCGCGCGGCCGCCAGGTGGCGCCAGCGCGGCGGCAAGGGGCCGCCAAACGCCAGGGGCGCCAGGGACTGGCAAAAGGGGTGGGGGTAGGCGTGGCCACCAGGCCCGCCCGCCCGGGCCGCTCGGTGCTGCGCCACTTGTTGGAGCGGGGCCGGGACTTCGTCGGCGTCCCGGGCGTCCCGGGGACGGCGAGGCAAGCCGAGGCCCCTCCCCGGGGGCCCACCCTGGGTAACCCTGGGGGCCACTCCGCGGGGCCTACCCTAAAACCCAACAGCCAGCAGGGCAGAAGGCCGAGACAAAAGGGCCAGCCGCCATCTCGCCCTGCTGCCGATTCACGCCATTCCCTTGCCACTTCCTTCCAGAAACATAAAACCGGGACAGAAAGATAGGCGTGGACTTGTTGGGACTGGGTTTCCTCGCGACTCTCATCGAGAGTGGGCACGAGTGGCACACGACTTTTGCGCCATCCACTACTTTACTTCATTTATTTAAGACCTGGACACAGCATTCCAAATTCACTTTGGCCTCGTTTCGAAACCACCGCCGCCTCTGCTGCGTCGGCGAGTCGCTCACGGCTATGAGGGGGGAGAAAGGGGTGAGGGGGAGTAAAACACGTCGAAGCACTCACCGGTTGCCGTCCTGCTTGGGGCCCCTCGCAGCCCCGCCCCGCTTGCTCTGGGCCAGGCCTAGTGGCAACCCTAGGCGATGGCCTTGCGAAGCGCCAGGCCCGCCCAGGGGCTCGTCGTCGTCGTCCCCGCGGGCTCGCGGCATCGCCGCCATGGTCATGATGAGCTCTGGGGAGAGGAGAGGAGAGGGCAGTGTCAGTTCAGGGTTTAGGGGCAGAGAAGCAGCGGGGCCGAGCGAAACAACGAGGAGAAGAACACACGCACAAAATTGTTTCCAGCAAGTGACAAAAACTGTCCGCACTGTGTGGTGTGCTGCTTGAAACACGTCTGTTCTCTATGCTCTCTATGCTTTCGCAGTGCTTTGCTTAGGGACAGTCGGAGCGAGTTTCGACACAGGTACGCGGACGGGACGAGGGGTCTCATAAGGCCGCGAGGGCGAAGTTACTCCGGTCAAAGTTGGTGCGGCAGGACGGACAGGACAGCACACTGGAGAGCTGCACGGGGCAGTTTGCGGGGCGGCGTGACGAGACTGACGTCACCGCAAAGCACAGCGTGCACAAATCACGTAACAGGTGGCCTGTGTCTACGACTCTGACTACGACTCTGGCAGGGACTGCACACGTAACAGTACGTACTGTTAAAGTTGTTGGAGCGCTGCGGCGCCGAGTCCGATGGGTAGAACACTTCGTCCGCGAACTGGCCGCTGGATGGAGAGAAGCGGATGCTGGCTTCGTACGGCAAGGCATCGCCGCGGTCCTGCAAGAGCGAAGAGCGACACAAACTTTGAGTTTTGCAGGAAACGAGCGCGAAACTTGAGTTGAAAAGTTGTCGCGACACAACACGGCGCTGCGCGCCGCGCCCGTGCCCCGTACCTCAAAGCGGTCGCCGGCGCCGCCGACTTGATTCAAGTTCTGCTTCTGCTTGCTGTGCTTCAGGCCGTGCAGTGGCTTGCAGGGGCTGAAGTCCTTGTTATACCTGCGCACGGGGAGTCGTTCGTTACGCAAGTTCAGCCTGCGCCCACGCGCGTAATTCGGATACTCTTGAGGTGTCGACTTACGTGCGCGTCTCCACGCCGTTGACGAGGATCCGCAGGACGCACTGCATGAAGCCGTCCTCCCAGTAGTAGCCCAGCTGGAGCAGCGTGGAGAGGTAGCGCTCGATCAGGTCCACGTCGGGCTTGTCCAGCCAGCGGTACCTGCAGAGGGACAGGGAAGGGAAGCTTTAATTCTCCACCTCATTCGGGAGGATTATTCTCTCTCTCACTCTCACGCACGCACACCTCCACGCACCGAAAAAACGGCGCCACGCAATACCGGGAGTGGGATGCGGGAGGCTGCCAGCTCGGCCGGCCCGCCTGTCTCGCTGCTGCCAGCCTCGTCTGGGCGCCGCGCTCCAGTGGCGCCATGCTGCGCCACCGACAGTACAGCCCGGCACCCTTCTCCGCATTTTTGCGCTCCAAATTCATGAATTCCGGCCCCGTGGCCTCCTGGCCCCATGGCCCCGCACTGTACAGTGTGCGCGCCGCGACAGGCGGCGTTAGCGGCGGCGACCCTGACGGGGGAACCTTGCCTGGATCAAATTCGCCATCGAGGAGGAGAACACAACCACGTTGCCGAGCCGAGCCGAGCCCTGAGGCCTGACAGGGGGGACCGACAGACGACCTCTACCGAGCGGTTGCGAAGGACCGTTTCGTTGCTCTGTCTCTCTCGCAGCCAGGGGGCCTCCCATGAGTGCGAGAGAGACAGAGAAGGAAAGATCCTTTGGAATCAGGCGGACCAGGACCGAGGCCGGGGGGACGCGAAGCTCATGAGTCGGAAGTCCGTCCACATACATGCATGGCCAGGCCGGCCCAGCGCGTCCAGACCGCCCTGCCCGAGGGCGCCAGGCCGCAAGGCGACGCAACGCCAGCCGCGGGGGCTGTAGTCTTGTAGTGTACTTTGCGGGCCGGCCCACAGAGTGCCCACAGCCGCTTGCGGCGCTCTCGAGGCGTACAAAAGGGCGCGCCAGCCGGCCGCCCCGCCCCGCCCGGAAAGCAGATAGTTATTATCCAGGCCCGGCGACCGCTTCGTCAACGTCCGCGGCTGAAAAGGGCGTCCGGCCCTGGGCTGGCCTAGAGTCCCGAGCAGGCTGGGCTGGGCCAGGGCGGCGGCCGCGGTCGGCAAAAACATTGCAGTGCGGGCACGCCGGGCCACGCCGGGCCTCGCGGACAATGGGCCTCGTTAGAGCGACCGCACGCCCCGAGGCCGTGGGGCCGTGGGGGATGGGAAGGGGCACTTTAGCACCTCGGCGATGAGCACGCGGCGCCAAGCTGCACGAGCCGCGCGAGCGAGCGCGAGCACGGCCTCGACCGCCTCCAGCCACGCGCCTTTTTTCGCGCCATCCGCTTCCTGGTCTGCCAGGCAGGCAGGCAGGCAGACAGCCATCCAGTGTAGCAGATTGGCCCGCTAATTTAGCGGCGGAAATGACGGAGGCAGAAGGGCGGCGGCTTCCAGCATGGTGGTGACGGCCTCCACTGGCTGGGCCGGCTGGGCGGGGACACGCAGTCGAGAGCCGGCAATTCGATTCTGGGAACTCGGAACGGTGGTGGCGTCGCTCTGTCTCTCTCCCACACGTGGGCGGCTCCACGAGGGATTGCCGAGGGGAGACGAAACGCCACCGTCCGGATCAACCTGCTGGCTTTTGATAGTGGCGCGGTCTGTCTCTCTCTCTCTCTGTCGCACTCGTGGGGTGGGACGTTGCGCGGGGGATGCGAGAGAGACAGAGCGGCGGAATCACTTTGCCGACCGCGCAGCGTCGCGTCCACATCCAGACAGAGGGGCGCACTGCGACTGATTTCCTTTGAAAGACCCATCGGCCGCCATCGGCCCGCTCCGCTCGGCCGGAGCGAGTGGCCAAATCTCATCACCGGAGTCATTTTCCGGATGGGAGCGCCTCCACGGCACGGAGAGGCACTTCATCGCCGAGAGCGGCGCGACAGGCCGAACAGTGCTTTCCCGTCGCTCTGTCTCTCTCGCACTCGTGGGGGGGATCCGCGCTCCGTATGGGGGCGCGAGAGAGACAGAGCGACGCGGCGCGGAATCAGTCTGGCGGGCCTCGCCTCGCCGCCTCGCAGTCCGACACACAGCAGACTCCATTATCGGGGAGAAAACTTTGCCGCCGTGCAACCTAATTTGCCGCCGAATTTGACAGCAGGAAAACGAAGAAGAAGAAGAGGAAAAGGGGGGCGCACCGCGCGTCCGCGCGTGGCCGCGAGGCCGGACTACGTCGGACTACGTCGCCGGGAGTGCGCGGCGCGCGGCGCCACTCGGACCAACGCGCCCCGATTTACGGTGTAAGGTGCCGTCGGGGCCGTGGGGCTGTTGGAGCGGGGGGCGCGTCGGTGAATGGGCCGTGCTAACACGGGGCCATAAAGAAGTCGTTGGCGGCGCGGGGGCGCGGCGCGGCGGGGTGGACCAGCGAAGACACATGTCCGTGCTGCCACGTGCGCGCGGCGGCCGCGCAGCAGGTTCCAACTCACTGCACCCGCCACACTTCGTTCCGCTTTCCGCTATCGGCCACCCTGTTCGGCCACTGCACTGCAAAAAGCGGTTGCCATTGAGCGCCGCCTCTGCCCTCGGAGCATTTCATCTGTCTCAGAACATGAGTTCTGCCCGAGAGCATTTCGACGAGGCCTTGGTGCGAACACGCGCCGACGGGCGCGGTTCCGGGTGCCTTTGTTTTTCGTCGGCCACGTGATGAGGACGCACGGGACGCGCGGGGGAAGAGTATCCGGTTCGTTGGCAACGCCGGGACAGAGAAATCATCTGCGGCCGTGCCGCGCGAAACGAACGCGTCATAATGGCGAAGTCGATTCTTTCTTCTCTTCTTTTCGTGCCGAGGCGGCCGTGGCGCTGAGCGCGGGCCTGACTGCCCTGAGCGGTCGCTGCGGCAGCAGCACAGATTCGCAATCAATCTCGGACCTCGGGGACGCTCCCGTCGCCCCCGTCGCTCGCTCCTCGGGGCCGCCAGGATGGCCTCTCGTCGCTGTCTCTCTCACACCTATGTGGAACGCCCCATGAGTGCGAGTGAGACAGCGTACGACGAAAACGACGCTCGGCATCAGTCTGCTGATCCAGCGAGGCTGGTCTCGGTCCCGGGGAGGTCCAGGAGGCCGGCCGGGCTGTGCCGCCGGTGCGGGCGAGCGGAGCAAGCCTTAGGGGTGGTCGGACTCCCCCAGGGCCAGACAGGCCTGACGCCGCCAGACGCACCCCCCTTAGGCCGTGCCGCCCTGGGCCCGCCCTGGGCCCGCCCTGGGCCCGCCCTGGGCCGTGCCGCGGCGCCCTTTAGGGTCCACGGATCAATGCGGGGGTGGCAGGCAAACTGTTGCTCTGCCTGCCAGGCCTTGCCATGCCTCGCCAGGGCCTGCTCAATGGCACCGGGAGTGTCGACGGAAAGCACGACGACGCATGGAACGCCACCGTGGCGGCTCCAGGAGGTGGTACCCGGTGGTACCGCACACCGCTCTAGAGGCATGCGAAATACCTGACATGGCCGTCTCCGAAAACAGCCGAAGACATTCTAGAGCCGCTCCCGGAACGGCAGAGGGAGAGAGCCGATTTGAAGGTGGAACCATCCATATACTCACGGCTTCATGTCGCTGCGGCGCCTCTGCAGCGGGTTGAAGCACTGCCCAAACACCTGGTCTGCAAACAGAGAGAAGAAACCAACGTGAAATTCGACCCAGAAAGAAGGGGAAATACAACAGCGGCACAGGAAACGAACAGTCCAATTCAGGCGGTGTCCAATTGAGCCCGCACACGCGCCGGCCAGACACACTACACCGCGCTCTGCCTTTCATAGCGCCGACAGGCATAATCACATGCTTGTCCTGTTTGCCCTGCTTTGCCTGTTTACCCCGTCCGGCCGGGCTTCCCCGTCTACCGGACCTGCTGGACCCGACCGCCCCCGCACGCCGCAACAGTCTGTCTCTCTCGCACCCCACACGTGGCGCCCCTCGAGAGCGGCGGAGACAGGGCGGCGGGACGCCTCCTATTCAGAATCAGCCTTGCTGCGGTGTGTGCGGTGCCGGTGGCCGCGCGGCCGCACCACGTCGTCCAACGTAATCAAACTTTGCGCCGGGAAAACTCAATCACCGAGGGGCGACTTTGACACGGCCGGGGCACGGCACGGCACGGCGCGGCACGGGAGCCTCCATCAAGGCCCTGCCATCGACGGGGCTGGAAAGCGAGCGGACCCTGCCAGCCGGCAGGTGCACACACACATACACACACACACACACACACACACACACACACAGAGTAGGGCAACAGGGCTGGACGCAAGGGGCCGGCACGTCTGGGACATCCATCTTACCCCCTCCCCCTCCCCTCTCCCGGGGACGACGGCCAAGACGGCCACGACGGTCACGACGGCCACGACGCCGGCATTGTCCGGCCGAAATAAGCACATCCCCCTCGCCATTTCTCTGCTTCTCCCCGCTGCCGCCGCTGGATTTCCGAGGCATGTCATCGCGAGGCGGAGGCACTCGACGACCTTGAGCGCGGCGGCGGGGCGGGCACGCGGAGGGACACGGACACGACACCGCAAAGGCCGTGGCCGAGCCGCCGAGCCCGTGGAGGCACGGCGCTTGATTCACCCCGCTTTGAACCACTGTGTGATTCGCGGAGGCGGAAAAAACAAAAACAAAAGCAAGGAGTGAGCAGCAAGGCCGGAAGCGACGTGATTTCTCTACTGAGCGAAAAGGTAACAACACCAGGGCAACGAACCCTTGGGCTTTGGCTGCTTGAGGCGAGAAAGCGTTCCGCCTTCGCGTTTCCGGTGGCGTGTCGGCTATTTTTGACCGACGCTCTGCTGCCGGCATGCCGTCTCGGCTACGCCACGCCTACGCCCTGGCCTACGCCCTGGCCTACGCCCTGGCCTACGCCGCGCCCCTAGCGTCTAATTCGATTCCACCTCGTCCACGTGGCCGCACTAATCACTCTCCGGACCGTTCCAGGTTCCAGACCGCCAGGGGGCAGCGAGGCAGCAGCGGGGGGCGGCCCTCTGGGCCCTCTGGGGGACTGCGCCTGACCCCCCACTCCGCCCCTTCCACGGCCGACGACTCACTTTTTAAAACGACCAATTAGAGTTTGATTCCGCTCGACCTTTGCCGGGCTGCTCGCCGATTCCGATTCCCCTGCCCCTTGTCGACTGCCTCCTTCTTTGCTTCACTCCCCGTGAGCCCGGAACGGCGACGCCTGTCTCTCTCGCGCCCCTGCGGGACGCCCCACGAGTGCGAGAGAGACAGAGAGAGACAGGGCGACGGAGTGCCGGCGGGCCCACGGCAGGCCCAAGGCAGGCCGATCAGCATCGGGTGGATTGGACCCTCGGCTGGCGCCGCTGGCGCCGCTGGCGCTGCAGGCGACCGAGCCAGGCTGCAGCCGCCCCCACGACCTTTGGCCTTTGCAGCACCGCTGCGTCGCTGGCCGTTGCGCAACCGCCGCAACCACCGCCGCCGCGCGTCCGCGAGCTCCCCGACGACACCGGCCGAGAACACGGCCAAGACGACGGTGACAAGCACTGGGCGCTGCAATTAGTGCGACAGGTGTCCTGCTGTTGGGCTGCAGCACTAATGAGGACGCCCACCCATCCCCCTCCCCTGCCTCCTCCCCGGCCCGCCCCTGCCCCCCGCAAGCACAAACAGAACATACGGCGGATCGATACCCAGGCTGGAGCGGCAGTGGGGGAACGGATTGAGGAGGGGGGTTGGGGCAAACACCGGGGGCGGGGCAGGGAGGAGGGGAGGGGGGCGGAGAGAGACCCGCGTGGGCGTCTCTCTCCGTTCTCTCTTTCTCATCCCTCTAAAGCCCCTCCCTCTCTGTCTCTCCACGCTTCGCTTCGCCTGCTGCTCCACGCCGCTCTGCCCGCTCTGCCCCTTCGCGAGGCTCCTCCAAGAGAATCATCATATTCACCGTCAGACTGCGCGGGCCTCGCGGGCCGTGAGGCAGCGCCATTGTCTCCGGCCGACCCCTGTCGCCTCTGTCTCCCTCCCGCCGCCCCTTTCAACCCCGCGGCCCCCGCGGCCCCCGGTGGCGCGGCGAGGAACAGAACAATGCAGGAGACGCGCACCTGCCTAACAAATCCACTCCCAGTGGCGCAGCGCGCAGCACGGCATGCCTTTTTCTCCTGTCGCGTTCGCGTCCCGTCGGCTAAAAATACACAAGGCGCCTCATCACAGGCCGGTCTGCCTCTGGCGCCGACAGTGGGGTGGAATTTCGCCACGATGACGGCCACCCGGCACGGCGCGCCGCGTGGACGCTCGTGGACGCGAGGCAGTGTCGCCGACAGAGGCGCGTCACCGGCAACACAATGAGTCTTCGGACGGCGGAGGCGGTGTCGGTCGCCATGGCGGCGGCACGGCGGCACGGCTCGACTCTGTTCGACAAGATCTCCCTTATCAGCGCGGTGTCACGATCCAGCAGCCCTGACTCGGCCGGACTCGACGTGACGCTCTGGCCTGGCCGACCGGGGCCGGCGGCAAGGCGAGCTGGCAGCCAGCGGCTCGGGAGAGAGAGAGAGGACACTGCTGCCACAGCGCAGTCTTGAAATTCAATTACAGTGGCGCGGGCTGGACTGTCGGGGCGGCCGGCGCGTGCGTCTCGAGATTACTACGGGATTGCGGTTCGGCTCCGTCTCTCTCGCACCCCTGTGGAGCGGCCCGTGAGTGCGAGAGAGACAGAGCGACGGAATCCCTCTGCAGGAATCCAGGAGGCCGCCTCCAGGCCGCCTCGCCTCCGCATCGCGGCGCAAGGTCCACGACGGCGTGGTCGCGGACTACTCCCGAAGAGAGTCGCCACAAGCCAGATTCCGAGCAAGTGTCGTGTCGCTCCTCTGTGCGCGACGCCGCCACGAGTGCGAGAGAGACGCGGCGACGAAAGCACGGAGCAAGCCGGCCGGCTCGGCTCTTCTCGGAAGGACAGCCGCTCTCCGGAATCAAATTCACCTCGGGCGAGTCAAGTCGAGCAGTGGCGTGGCGCGCAGTGGCGTAGCCTTTGTCGCTGCAGCCGCGCCATGCCGCGCCATGCCGCGCCGTTGTCGAAAAGAAGCGAGAGGACGGAAAATGAAGAACTCTCCGCCACCAAAATCCGTGCCGCTGCCGTCCCCTTGAGACTGGGCGAGCCCCGATGAAATAATTAATGGGACAATATTCGCAGAGAATTAATTAAACCGAGCTGGTAAAGTGAGAGAGAGCGGGAGAGCCAGAGAAGCCCTGGCCGTGCGGCTCAGGCCCGCCCTGGCCCTGGCCGGCACCGAGAGTGGGCGGCGGTCCCCGCAGCAGCCGCACCCGCCGCAGCGCAGTATCCCGGGTTCGAAACGCCACACCCGCCAAATTTTCTTCATCCCCGCCACGCCTCCGCTCCGGCAGCTCCATGAGCCCTAACGGGGACCCTAACGGGGACCCTAACGGGGACCCTAACGGGGACCCAAACGGGAACCCTGACGCTACCATTAGTCGCGCCCGCCACGCCCCGCATTAACTTGTTGGCTGGCGTGCTCTCGCTGCTCTCCTCTGCCATCGAGGCCCAGCCGCGCCCCGCCACGCCACGCCCTAATCCGCTCTTCTTGCCGAACCGACCCGCGCTCCACCCGAGCAGGCTCTGCCGCTCTGCCAGGCAGCAGGCCAAAGTCCTCGTTATGCCGAAGCGGTGGCACCGGGCGGTGGCCGTTCCCTCGGGACGCTCGCAACCCTCGTCCCTCCGCTCCGCCGTGCCGCCGCGCCGCCTTCGCCCCGGTGCATGTCTTGTCTACCTACGTGATGCGCGGCGCTGCCTGCGAGGCCTGCCCCAAGGACGCCCAGGATGCCCAGGACGCCAAGGTCCCCGCCGACGCGAGCGCCGCGTGCGCCGCCCGCCCCGCACCCCGCCCGCCACGCACCGCTGTTGGGCGGACTGCCTATCGTCGACTTCACAGGCGCTCCGCTCGGTCCGCTCGGTCCGCTTCGCGCTGCGCAGCGCCTAGAGAGCCGCGGCCCGGTTGCACCGAACCGACGGCCTCGCGCACGGCCCTGTGAGCGCGAGAGAGACACACAGCTGGTCTCCCTGCGAGTGCGAGAGAGGCGCAAAGCCGTCTCTGTGAGAGCGAGACGGATGGATGGAGAGGTATTTCCGAGTAGTATCTCATTTCCCTGCCGGGAGCGAGAGAGATGGAAAGCTGCCTCCCCCTGTGAGCAGCGAGTCCCATGTAGAGGTCCCTCCCGCCCCCGGCCGCGAGAGCGAGTGAGATGGAGCGCCGCCTCCATGCGAGAGCGAGATAGATGTGTCCCCCTCTGTCACGAGGACGGGGCGTGCTCCGCCGGGGTTCACATGCGAATCTAATGTGCCGCCTGACCTTTGCAGCGGGACTGCGCGACAGTGGCGTGGCAGTGCCGCGGCACGGAGGGAGATGCCCGATAGTGCGTCGCGGCGCTGGCGGCGTTCGATCAACACATCGCGGCGTCACGTTCGCGTCACACGATCGTGTCGCTCCACTGTGACGCGCACGTCACGCGGCGTCACGCATGGCAGGAGAGGGGCGCGCCGTACATCACCGCGGGGCGTTCCGGGGCGTTCCGGGGCCCTCCATTCCATTGATGACACGGCTCGTCCCACCCACCGTGATCCGACAGCACCGCCCCCACGACGCCCCGACGTCCCCCACAGCGTGCGCCGTCTCTCTCGCACTCCTGTGGCGCGGCCGGCGAGGCGTAGGGGTGCGAGAGAGACGCCCTATGCGTTCACGAAAGTTCTCATGACGACAGGGTTGCCAACCTCAGCATGCCAACTAGGCAACTTTCCGAAAAATCTCAGATATTGGCTGGCACGGGCTGGCAAGGCAGACTGGGAATGACAACCTTTTCGACACTGGTGGCGCACGGTGCGAACTTTTTCCCATTGTGTGGCAACACTACTGCGCGGTTAGGAATGAAGCTGCTGCGCCCTGCAGCCCGCCTGCAAGCCGACCCCAACGATGCTTACTTTTCGTGGCTCCGTCTCTCTCGCACTCACGGGGCGCCGCGTCGGAGTGCGAGGGAGACGGCGCGACGAAAGAACCACATTCAGCTTAGGCCCGCGGGCCATCGGCTTTCGCTCTACGTCTTCGCGCCGCTCCGACGAGAGTGTGAGGATCGATTTGCGGAGGCGGCAGCGGCGAGAAGAGGGAGGAGAAGAAGGAAAAGAAGAAGAATACAAAAAGGTCAACACGGCGCGCGGGTCTCGCGTTTCGCCGCCCCATTCGGCTGCCATTCGGCACAACACAACGGCAGGCCCTCTCCAGCCCTCTCCTTTCCACGGCCCGCTGCAGCCGAGGGGAAAAGAAAAACAGTCGCCAGATTGGCCAACATCGGCCGACCGAGCAAACCCAAACACGGCGGTGGCGGCGCGGCGGCGCGGCAGGTGGAACAAAAACTTGCTCGCCACCTACACTGTGGGCTTGGCGCGCTTGGCCGCCGTGTTCCGCCTCCGCGGCCTCCGCCGTCGTCGCCGTGCTCTGCCGCCTCCAGACTCCAGCTCGATACCACGGCATTCCAGCTTCCGAGCAGCCTTCCAGGCGTTCCAGCAAGCCAGCCAGGCGCAGCCAGGCCTGCCCCGCTTTCGCCTCAGAGAGGTGCAGCCCCGCCTGCATGCCTGTGGCCTCTGCGGTCACCCGCGGGAAAAGCATGCGCGCCGATGTGCGGCCGGCAGACAATCAATTCGGACCGCGAGACGCGGGTTCGAAACCCACCCCCTTTTCTTTCCTTCGGTTCGCGGGTCGCGATTCGCGAAGGCGGGGTAGCCGAGTCTTGTTTGCGCGGCCGCCGCCGTGCTGTCTCGGAGAGGGATGGAGGCGGCGAGGCGAGGCGGCAGCGCGGCGGCACTCACACCGACTCACTGTCACGCGCACAACCACACACGGACGCAAGCGGAAAATGGATCTGCAAAAGGCTTCCTATGGCCACCAACAAGAGCAATCGCGCATGCGGAACATATGTTTCCGAGCATCCGCGTGGTGGCCTTTTCCACGGCACGCACGCTTGCGCGCGCGCACACACACAGAGAGAGCTCCCACGCGGCGAGGCGCAAACGCGTCAGCGGCGGGAAAAAACTTTAAAAATCCATATTCCATCCACTCGCAATAAGGTGGTGGGGCCGTTCGGGCGCGGGTCAGGAGCGGGCGAGGGGGCGGGGGAAGAGAGGGGCGGGGCTTAAGTACACATACACTGGCAGAGGGATGAAGCGGAGCCGAGTCGGGCGGGCGTGTACAAAAGCGGCTAGGCATACAAGGGAAACTTTTTCGCGGAAACTTACTTTCCGGAGGATCCATCCAACCATCCCGAGGCCACCCGGGGTTTCAAAAATAAAAATAAATGCGTCATTATATCATCGCGCTCTAACACAAAACCCTCCGTCCCGCTCCGCCCTTAAAGGACGAAGGTCATAGGCATGCGGTAGTAGCGTTCGGGTAGATGGGCGTGGAGACGGGTTCAGGGCGGGTGATGTCGCAAAGGCGGACCAACACGGACAAAGTGCGACTTGCTGCCACTTTGACGCGCGAAAGGTCAAGATGACGGACCGACTACGCGGAGAGTACCGGCAAGGCGCGGCCTGGAGGCCGGATTCGCCAAGTGTGCGAGAGAGATAGCCGAATCGATTTGATTTCGACCCAGAAATCGACGCAGAATCGACACCTACGTCGGCCTTACTTGACCGACCACCCCTTTCTGGCCGGGTTCTGGGAAATGTCTTCACGCCGCTCAGGTGAAGGGTGATGACGTCCAAGTCCGCGTCCGCCGAGGGCCCCAGGGCTTGCCCCAGGGCGCCCCGGGGGCGGTCTTTGAACAAAGGGGGTAAAGGGGTAGCAGCTGCGCGGGTGGTGGGCGGCTACTCCGGCCTCGTCGTGCCGCCGTGACCCTCGTCCTGCCGGCGTCACCCACCGCCTCAGCGAGAGAAAGAGAAAAGAAAAGAGTCAAACTTACCGTCGTAGCACTCCTCGCCGACCGCGCAGACGCCGGCGTCGAGCAGGCATCCTGTTGGACAAGAAGCAGAGGCTTCGTTAGTTTGGCTTCACGGCGGCCATTGTGTTCACGGCCGCAGAGGACAGGAAACAAGGGGGATTAAAAAAGGGGATGGGACAATGTAGCTGCCAAGCCTTTGACAGGGAGTGACACCAAGCCGGGCCGCCACCGCACAGTGGATTTGCTAGAAGGCAGGTGGAGGTGGCCGAAATTCGAGACGCGTTTTCAGCTCCAGAGTCGCTAAATGGGACTCGAACCGAACGTGTGACCCCACCAATGGATTCCTCGTTCGGTTCGAGTCCTGTTGAGCGACTCTGGAGCTCAAAACGCGTCTACAGTTTGGGCCCCGTCCACCGGTCTTCTGGCCTACCGTGCATCGCGGTGCGCAATAGTGCCCGGCAAGTTGGCGTTTCGCAGGTGAAACGAAATGGAATGAAATGGAACGACATGAAAGAGCGCAGCCCCCGGGAAAGGAGATGCAACGCGCAACTCGCGGCGCTCCGGACCAATCGGAGTCGCAGCGTCGGAGTCCGGACTCGGAGCCGGACTCGGATCGAGCGGGAAAACGGCGGGACGCAAGAATAACGAATTCCGAAAAGGCAGAAACTTGATTACTCTCCGGCAAAGTGCTCCTCGAGCCTGCCGCCCGCTGCCGCCCGCCGCCCTCGTCTTGTCGTCTTCGTCTTCCTGCTCTTGATGTCGTTGGACCCCGGGCGGGGCGGGCGATGAGAGAGGCGATCGAGGCCGAGATGAAGATAAAGTTGTCAGACAGGTGCTGCGGGGAGGCGGCGAGGGGGGTGCGGGCGGCGGCACGGCGGCCTGCCCGGCGGGGTGGACCCGGACCCGGTCCCGGGGACGCCGGAGAGGGGCGCGGCGCAGAGGCGGCGGCGGGCTCTGACGCAAGCAAGTTTGAGTTGGCGTGGGTTGAAGCCACCGGGGTGGAGGGGAGCGGCAGAGCCGGGCAGAGCGGCACGCCGACCAGCAGGCTGAAGCGGCGCTCCGTCTCTCTCGCACCCTCACGCGACGCCCCATGAGTGCGAGAGAGAAGGCGAGGGGTTGGAGCCGAAGCGGGCTAAAAGGGTAGAGTGAGGGTTCAGATTAAGAACGTCGCCGGCGAGCTTCACTGGCTGGCTCGCTCTGCGAGTGCGCGGGATAGCGCCCTGGGCGCCGCCACCACAGTGTTAGTGGTGTTAAAGATGCAGAAATTATGCAACGCGCGCTTTAAAAGCCCGCATAAACTTAACCACGCAAATTAGCGCGCGGCAGACCGCCCATCCATCCAGAGATTAGACGGCAGATAAACCTTGCCCGGCATCAACGTGAACGTGAACATGGCGGCGGCGGCAGGGCGGCTAGGGGCAGCAAAATTGCGCTTCACTTTAGCTTCGCGCGCGTTCCAAGTTTGAACGGCCAACGGCCCCGGGGCAAGAGGGATGAAAGCACTTCCGCACACAGCGCTTTCGTCGCTCTGTCTCCCTCTCTCTCGCACTCGCGGGGTATGCCGGAGGGGTGCGAGAGAGACACAAGCAGAACAAACAACACTGCCGGCGGTGGATCCAATTCTTCCCTGTGGTCACACCTCGCCTCGCCTCTCGCGCTTCAAAGCAGTGCTGCCGACGCCTTTCAGAGAAATGTTATATGTCTGCGCACCTGCCGCCCCCGGGGCTGTGCTTTTTCTCTCTTCCCCGCACTTGAATGAAAGGAAAGAGAAAACAGCAGCAGAGGGCGAAAAGAAAGCGGGGGAATTCCTCACGGTTTGGCAAGCCACAGCGCGCCACGGCGTGCCTCGGCGAGCCTGGACCGTGACGGCGTCCCTGAGAGGAGTTTACGGTGGAGGCACCTCGGGCACCTCGGGCCGGGATGGCCATTCGTTCCCATCCATACCCCTGGCGTTTTTACGCTCGCCCGCAACGCGCCACGCGTTCGCAGAAAAGCCCTTTCTGGCTAAAACATTCATCAGTGCGGACACACGGCCAAAGAAACATTATGATTTATCGTTTTTGCGACTTTTTGCACATACCCCAAAACAGTCGTTTCTTTGAAACAAGTGCAACAACTAGTGAATTTAACAGTTCAACCATTTTAACATCCGCCTGGGTCCCGCAGAGTCCCGAAGCAAGAGCCTATCAGCGAATTCACATGTTAATGAATCCCAAGCGTTCGGCAGACCGTCATCCCTGGGCCAGCACGGCAGCACGGCCAGCAAGAGCGACAAGGACGGGCAGATCGCTGGCCGTTCGCAGCGTTCGCAGCGCGAGTCGGAAACTAGAGCGACTGGTGCGCAATTAACGAGCTTGATCCAACCATTCAGCCACTGATTCATTCATTCGCTGCCTCTATCTCTCTTTCCCTCTCTGGGGCGCGGCGCTGTAAATAAACCGCATCCGCCATCCCTGCAGCCCCTCCACAGCGCACCTCCATTCATGGAACCTGCCCCACCGCGCCACCGCCACCCCTGCTACCTGCGCCGCGCCGCGCACCCCACCCGTGTTGCACGCCCACGACGCCCACGCAGTGGCCGACATCCACCCCCACCCTCCGGCCTCCACCCCGCCTGCCCCAGCCAAACACTCCGAGCTGGCTCTCTCTCTCTCTCTCGCTCTCTCGAGCCATATCGCCCAAGGCAGACGCCCACCGCCATGGCGGAGCGCGCTTGTCCACCAGCCAGCCAGCATTGCCCGAGTCAGAGTCACCACGCTCGAGGCAGTGACGGGTGGGGGAGGGGGAATGTCACTCCAGATTTTAACCCGAGTGGTGGCGCTGCGAGCTGACCCCCCCCCCCCCCCCCCCCCCCCCCGTTCCCCTCGCACCGGCATCCTTCCGCGCCGCGCTGCCAGGGCCGGGCATAGACAAGACGGACGGGGCGAGTCTTCTTCCATTCAGTACACATTTCACAGTGAGACAGGTCCTACAAATATTCTTTTTACAGTGAATGGGCACATTCAGAACATTGACTGCGGGCTCCCCCACAGTCCGGTGCAAATGGTGACATTTTGCGGGGCGCCGCGGTACCGCGACGGACCGCGTTAAGCCCCCCGGAGAGGAGGCCACCTCACCTGGGCCCCCACCGCCCCGCAGCCCCAGCCCCAGCATCGGCCGGGGGACCCACACGCAATAAAACACCCCAAAGAACAGGGCGAAAACACGACGTTGAAACAACAAGGGTCGGTGCGCGGATAACGTATATTTCCCACCGAAAAAAAAGAGAGCAAACAAACGAAAACGAATCACGACCCGAATCGACCAAATCGGACGGGGCCGCGGGGGGTCCATCGCGCAGTAAAGGACGGCCGTTTGGGGAGCGCCGAGGGAGCCATCGGGATGGGACCGCACCCGCCACTGGAAGTAGGAGAAGACACCCGCCGGAGCCACCAGCTTCCGCCTCCGCTTGGCGTGCAGCAGCACACTCACGCCGTCTAGACCGCGCGCTGCATGGCCTGCATGCCTCAATCCCACGCCCTCGGCAGCCCTTCCGCCTTCCAGCGCCGCCACCTCCGTCGAGGCCCTTTGCCACGCAGAGGGCCGCGAACCTCGCCGCGAACCGAGGCAGGCGAAGCAGGGCTTAGCGGCCGACGCCGCCCGGCTCGCCGCCCGGCCCCGCGAGCCCCGCTATTCATAGCGACACGTCGATACGCCGTGCAGCTCTCTCCACCCTCACCTTGACCTTCTCCAGGGTCGCCGCGCCGCGCCGCGCGCCGAGTTCGGCACTCGACTGGCCCACTACCGGTTCGGGTGGCCGTCGTGGCCTGTCAGAGTGCCTCAACCGTCTCAACGTCGCGGTTTGCCAGCGAGCGTCACGTCACGTCGGAGTGCGAAGCGTGTCACGTTCGTTTCAACGACCACCACGTCACATTCGCTCGCACGTGACACAGCCGTCGAATTAGTGCGCCATTCGTTACAACGCGGATCGACATTCAAGCGAATGTGACATCGAATTCAAAGGAACGCTTCACAATTCACATTATGACGAATAAAGTCGTCACATTCGTTGTAAAGCGAGGTGTCTGTCTGTCTGCTTATGTGTCCGTCCGTCCGGCCGGCCGGCCCCTCCGCCACCATTCCAGCGCTGGATGTGCTTAGTGCGGTTTATTGTCCACGGTGTGGCAGGCCGCCAGGCGGGCCGAAAAGGGGTGGCGAGGGGTGGCCTGGCCCACGCCACGCCACGCTCTGGCCGCACTAAACCACTCCACTGTTCATTCTGAACCACGCCACGCTCAGGCAGGCCAGCCGGGCCACAACGTGAGTACAATTGAGGAGGACAGAGGGAGGGGCGGGGGGAGGGCCATCATGGCTGGCAGGAGGCAAGAGGTGCCCGCATATCGGCCCGGGCCGCTCAAACATTCCCGCCGTGCCATACCCGCCGCCACCCATCCCGCTCCCCGTTGTTCATCAGACCGCGCGCACACCAATGCAGCCGCCTCTTGCGTGCCCACCACGCCCGTCACATCCACCGCGACCCACCCGCCCACCGTGCCCACCAAGCGCGCGACTGTCGTGCGACGTCACACGCGGCCGCGTAGCGCGTGGCCCAGCGTGGCCCCCCGGGGGGTCGGCCCCAGGTCGGCCCCAGGGGTGACTGCGTCCGCACGCCAAGCACGGCCGCTACTTTCCCACCATCGCGCCATTCCCCCCCCCCACACACACACAAACACTCAGACATGCGCAAACTTATGAGAAAACCAGCACGGTCGCGACGGCGATGAATTTTGCATCAATCACTTGGCTTGGTTAGCCGGCATGCAGCACGTGACGTCGCGCGCCCCTCGCACGGCATGCACGCCGCGACGCTCCGACCCTCTCGCTCACTCGGCGGTGCCTCTGTGCCTCTCTCTCTAGCTCGCGCGACCAGTGACGCCATCGACCGCCGTCATCTCATCTGATCCGATTAACTCGACATCGATGGCGCACATGGCAGCTAAACAACGGCCGGCCGGGGAAACGCGGCAACGCGCGGCAACGCGCACCGACCAAACCGCAAAGCCAGCCGTCGCGCGGACTCCGTCGCACTCCGGGGCCGAGCCGCAGCAGCGGTGCGAGAGAGACAGAGCGACTGAATCGACAACCCGGCCGGTCTCTTCACATGTTCGGAGCTCTAACAACCTTCCGGGCGGTGAGGCGGCCTGGCCCGGCGCGTGGTGGGATCGAACCCGACACTTGTAGGGTTCGAGTGGCATTCGCAGAATGCACAACTCGAGACGAGCGCGGCGCCCAAGGCCGCACCCAATGGCCCTGTCTCTCTCGCACTCGTGGGGCGTTCCGTTCTGGTGCGAGAGAGACAGGGCGACGGCACGCCGAGCGGCATCAGCTTGTTGGCCAGCCTGGCGAGGAGCGCCGGGGCGGTGGGCAGGCCCGCGCGCACGGCTGCCGCCGAGTTGCCTACCTGCCAGGCGCTCAGCTCCACCCAGCTCAGCTACGCGCAGCAGTCAGGGCAGCAGCCCGCCTCCCCGCGGTCCCCTGGGCACGGCGACGGCACGGCACGGCACGGCACGGCACGGCACGGCCACCGGCGCTGAGCGGCAGGTCTCGGCAGCGGCCGCCCCCTCCCCTCCCTCGGGGGTACATCGGTACACTACCCCAAGCACCCCGAGCGCGCGTTACACGACAGCGAACAACACCCCCTCCCCCCACTCCCCATCAATTTGGGTTCTCGAAACACGGAAAGGAACGACTCGACTATCTAGATGTCCGCATGAACAGCAGTGTCATCTTCCACCCGGCCGGCACGGGAGTAGCAGACGAGAGTCCTTTTCGTCCGTCTCTCTCGCACTCATGGGGCGTACCGCATAGGTGCGAGAGAGACAGAGCGACCGGGAACAGCGGCCATGCTGCATGAAGGAGTGAGGAGGGCGACGAGGTGCGGAAGGCGGACGACGGACGCACAAGAGTCAGCACCCGGGTCATTGCCATCACTTTACATCGGGCCCTTCAGCGACCGACACACACACACACACACACGTGCACGAAGGAGCGTGCGGAGGAAGAGGAGAGGGGGCGGGCGACTGAGTTGCTGAGCAGCAGACGTCTAGACGATATGTCCACGCCCCGCTCCACGCGGACGGAGAATTGGATTCGCCTCAAAGAAAGCCGTATGCCATGCCAGCCGGGCCGGCAGGGCAGGACAAAGTGCCGAGCCCACAACTATAGAAGAGGCACATGTTCCGTCATGTGTGGGCGGGACGGGGGTGCGTGTGTGTCTGTCTGTGTGTGTGCGTGCGCGCGTCTGCGAGCGCCGCTAGCCGAGGGCCGAGATCCCCTCTCTGGCATGAAAAAATAAACACTCGGAACGCGGCCGAGTTGATTTGTATACCAGACGCGCCCTAAACGCTGCTGCCGCGGCACTGTTTCGGATGTTTCAACATGGGCCGGAGGATAAAACTCGGAACACGAGGCTGTGACAACAGGTACCACACCTGGTACTCCACTCGGTTAGAAATGAAGCAGATAGCTCGCAATGTTTTTACAGAAATAGCACTATATTTTATCTAATCTCGCTGGCTGCATATAGGGTCTTTTTTTCAAACGTCGGTGAAATGGTGGACTCACCCATCGTCAGGTCTCCCGCTCGGCCTTGGCTTACGCACCCCGCGAGAGCGAGGGCGACCAGGCCGAGCCATGGTAGATGCATCGTCGCGAAGCCTCGGCCGAACTCTCGGCCCCAGCCCCCGACCCTTGGGGCCCTTCGGCCTCGACGCTACGGACCTCGGCCCAGCCCGTCGCCGGGCATGTTGGGCCGCACCCGCTGCAACAGAAACCGCGGTGAGGTGAGGAGGACGGTCTGGACCTCGGCCTGGACCTCGGCCTGGACCTCGGCCGCACCGCGTTGACGCTGGTCGGGCCCTGGCGGCCAAGGATTGGCGCCCTGGTCCTGGCGCCCTGGTCCTGGCACCTTGTCGTCGACTAGGGTACGCCAAGCACGACGGGTAGGTCTGGGTACCGCACCGCCCCGCACCGCCAGTCATGCACCAAGCCCACCAGCCCAGCAAAGCCACCAGGCCCGCTCTAGATGCGCCAACCTGCCCTCCAGATGTTGGCACAACAGAGGTTAGGGGGAGGGAAGGCGGCGGCGGCAGCAGTCCCGCTTGTTTGTGCGTGGGCACCAGCCGCACCAGCCGCACCAGCGGACACTAGATCCCCTGAAAATCGATGAGCGCGCGGTGCGGCGCCAGGAGCGCCAGGCTGGCCAGGCCGCCAGAGGCAAGCAGCCAGGGCCAGCACGCGGCCAAGCACTGGAGAGCGCAAGAACAAGGGCAGCAAGGACACCACACTCACCTCTGAGTCCCCGACCGCAGACACACAGCAGGCTGGCCGGACACACTATCGGGGAACCTTCGCGGACGGCAACCCGTTGCGCGCTGAGGCCTGAGGGGCTCCGCAAGGCGAGCAAGGCGCAAGCCAGCGCAAGCGGCGCGACGCACACCACGCAGCGATGGGGGCGCTAGCGGCGCGCCGCGATAGGGGCGCCCCCTGGCGGCGACCGAGCTAACTTCCAGCGGCCGTCCGGGCCGAGCCGAAGCAGCCGAGGCCTGGCCGAGCAGGGCCGAGGCCCCCGGGCAACGCGACGAGCACCGCGACCCCCCGCGAGGGCAGCACGGCGGCACCAGCCAGCCACCACCCCGACCCCGCCCCTCCAGGACGCGTCCAAAAACACCCCTGCCTCGTCCTTCCCCAGCGAGCCGCGGGGCGCTAGGTGTGGCTGCCTGGGACGCAGACCCCCGCCCCGTCCTTCAGCCGGTCCCTGCGCCGGAGAAGCTCAAGCTGGCATGCTGCACGCAGCCCCACGACCATTGATCCTCCGTCACTTGTTGAACAGCCCGAGTGCAGCCCGAGTGCAGCCCGAGTGCAGCCCGAGTGCAGTCCGAGTGCAGCCTGCCGCCAGATTCCCGGGAGCCGTTTCGTCGCTCTGCCTCTGCCGCGGGGGTGCGAGAGAAACAGAGCGACAAGATTTTCGGAATCAGGCAGTCGCTGCCGCCGTCCTGAAAAGCCCGCCTTCGCCCTCGGGGCCGAATCGCACGCAACACAGCGGCTCCGTTCAGACCAAAGTCGGCGCGGGCAGAGTTTTCTTTTCGCCAGCTCGCCAGCGCCTCTCCAGTGCGGCGGGGCACGGCACGGCGCGGCACAGAGATAAAGCCCCACGTGGCTGCGTCCAAAACCGGCGTGTTTGCCAGGGGCCGCCGGGCCTTGCTACGCCTGGCCTGTGGCCTGGCCTGATCGTGCCGCCGCGACGGCCGGGTATTGCGACGCACCCCTGCCGTCGGGCCGTCGGGGCCGTCCGCGAGCGGCATGACGACGAAGGGAGCAGCCAAGCGATTCAGAAGGATCGTTCCGTCGCTCTAACTCTCTCGCACCCCTACGGGCCGCTCCATGAGTGCGACAAAGACAGCGCGACGAAACGATCACCCGGAATCACTCGACAGCCTGCGGCGCCTGCGGCACCGGCCCGCGCGGGCCCGGGGCAGTGGCTGCAGTGGCCAGCCGGCCGATTCAAAAGAGGTCGCTTCGTCGCTTCGTCTTTGTCGCACTCGTGGGGCTCTGCGCAAGGGTGCGAGAAGGACAGCAACAAAGCGCTCTTCCGAAGTCCGAGTCGTCCGAGTCGCACGGCAGCGACGGGGCGTGCTTACGGACGTCCCCCGAAGGCTGTGGACGGAAGTGCCCTATCAGACTTGCCTCTGCCTGCCTGGCCTGCCAATGCCCGTGGCTTGGCTTGCGTGGCTTGCTTGGCTAGTGCCGGGGCCGGAGTGCACACAAAACTCAAGAAACGAAGCCACGCGATAAAGGCATTCCTCCCCCCCCCCCTCTTTGCCCCGAAGTCCGATCCACAGTCGTGGGATTCGCACACGCAACAAAATTTCAGCAATCCGAGATTCAAACTTGCCGTTTTGACCTTAGTGGCAGTGTTTGAGATGAATGGGAAGTAATTCTGAAATCTCACAGCATCTTTGTTTCCGACACCCATACTTTAAGCTATGGACACAGGGGAGGGGGGGGGGGTCACAGGGAAAATACATTAAAAAGGGTTACCAAGAGTGAACAAAATTTGGAGATGAGAATATTGCGCTGCAAATTCAAGAAACAGCACAGTTTCCCTTAGTTATCGGGTATTTTTCATTTATCATTGCCAATTATTTTCATCTCAAACTTACACAAAGAGTTGTTTTGACAGAACGTAAGAGGTTAAAGACGCTGACTTTATAAAGACATTTTGCTTACCTCCACAAGACGAGCTGAGAGTCAACTCTGCATCCATAAAAGACGAAGTAGTTAAGACTCCATCCTAAAAGTTTTAAGCACTTTTCACATTTTTAAGCACTAAAACACCTTAATTCTTTCCGCGCCGGTCGTCGAAGAAAAACATCGTTTCTTTGTTTTGATGCGACGACGAACGAAAATATTTTCATACCGTACGATAACGGTACTGTAAGTTTCTCATGTAAATGTTAACAGCACACACACAGCCATAATGGCGGCGGGACCGATTGCTGAACGTAATCAAGGTAATTTTGATTTATCTGAACATAATAGCGCTAATTTACCATAACTTGCTTTGTCTTTCTAATTCCAAGTTTCTCAATTAACTATTTCTATGATTAATACGCACACTGGATTTGTTTTGTTGCCTGACGCCTGCTGCCGGCAAACCGCTCATGCACTTATTTTTGCTGTTTATTTTTCACCTTCATGTTAAAAATCTGCCTGGCTTTTACAAAAAATTAACTTTTAATTATTTCTTTGAAATATGGATCATGTCATTGTTAGTTTGTCTAATATCTTGTGTCTTACGTTCCAAACATAGAAGGACCTTAACCTAAAATATTTGGTTTTGTAGTGGCTGCTAATATTTGTTTACCAAGATCTTCGATTCGCAATACTGTCTTTTTTTTTTTGCAAAGAATCAAAATTTTCCTGATCACAAAAATTTTATTCTTTTCTGTTAAACTAACTGCGTTTCATCATGCGTTTTTTTGTTACAGATGCCACAATTTATGTGGGTGGACTGGACGACAAAGTCTCGGAGACACTTATGTGGGAGTTATTTGTTCAAGCTGGCCCGGTCGGTAAGTGGCCCAAAATTAATTGGTCTTTTGATGTTTGTTCTCATTGAAGTTACTCTTACTAACAATTTTCTTTATTTTTTAGTTAATGTTCACATGCCAAAGGATAGAGTAACTCAAATGCATCAAGGATATGGATTTGTGGAATTCATGGGTGAGGAAGATGCCGATTATGCCATTAAGGTTCTTAATATGATTAAGTTATATGGAAAGCCTATCAGGGTTAATAAGGTAAAACCATAGCTTACTGTAAATTCCAAACTTGGTCTACCTAAGCTTGATGTCAAAACTAATCTTTTTTTGACATTCATACAGGCCTCAGCTCATCAGAAGAATCTGGACGTAGGAGCCAACATATTCATTGGAAACTTAGATCCAGAAGTTGATGAGAAGCTTCTGTACGATACATTTTCTGCTTTTGGTGTCATTTTACAAACACCTAAGGTAACTCAGATTCTTTAAAGGAAACTCTTGCTGGTTATAAACTTGTCATGCTCATGCTTCTTGCCCTTTTAACACTTTTAAAATATATTTTCAGATAATGAGAGATCCAGAGACTGGCAACTCAAAGGGTTTTGCCTTCATCAATTTTGCTAGCTTTGAAGCATCCGACTCAGCCATAGAAGCTATGAATGGACAGTACCTTTGCAACAGGCCTATATCAGTGTCATACGCTTTCAAGAAGGATGCCAAGGGAGAGCGCCACGGCTCAGCAGCTGAAAGACTTTTAGCTGCTCAGAACCCGCTGTCGCAAGCAGACAGACCTCATCAATTGTTCGCAGATGCTCCTCCAACAGCTCCGCTGCCACCACCTCCAAGTGCAATGCCCCCTCCTCCACCTATGACCCCCATGATGGGCATGATGCCACCACCCCCACCTTCTCTAGGAAACATGTTCCCACCCCCTCCTCCACCAGTCCCGCCCCCGAACTCCATGATGATGTCGGGCATCCCGCCGCCCCCACTGCCCCCCGGCGGTGTCGGCATGCAGCCTCCACCCCTCCCGCCCCCAGGACTGCCTCCACCACCCCCAAGCATGGCAGGACAACCTCCACTACCGCCTCTCCCTCCCAACGGCCAGCCGAGTTCCATGATGCAGGGAATGGGGGTATGTCGCACTGGTTTCAATTTATTTTTAGTCTCATCCAGGATCTGCGTGGAATTTGTTTTATCCTGTACTATGTGCTCTTGCAGGCACCACCACTTCCTCCAGGAATGCCAAGGCCTCCCCAGGGTCCTCCCCCCATGCGCCCACCTGGTTCCGCCACTGCAGGACAGCCTGGAGCGCCGCCACCGCCCCGCATGATGCCGCCCTCATGGCAAGGCCAAGGAAATGGATACGCACCTATGTCACAGCCCTATGGCCAGGGACAGTATGCTCAAGGACCTCATGGTAATTAAGTGTATTTAAATAATACATTTAAATTATTTTGTTAAAATTATTTTTTTTAAATGTTTTTTGAATTGGTGCGCTTTCAGGCTGGAGACCGCCGCCACCTGGTCCCCCTGGTCCCCCTGGTAGGCCTCCCTTCGGCAGACCACCATTCCCCCCGCGCGGTCCTCCTCCCCCCAGGGGCCCAGGCATGAGGCCACCACCTCCTCATGGAGGCAGCTGGGAAGAGAGCTATGATGAGAGCGAAGGTTACGACTATAATAACTACTAGTTATTTATTTATTAATTGTGGAGAAAGAGTCATTCCTGTGTGAATTTGTACATAATAAAAAAAGCTTTGACATCTATTGAAGATGGTTGTGTTGCTCATTTCGTTCCACTCACCAGGAAAAGGATGCAGAGAATAACAAAAGACAAAGTAAAGAAGCTTAATTTATTTTCTTTATAGCACAAGTTTTCTGAAAAAGAACTGAGAATTCTTCAGAGAGACATTTAATATGCTCACAGCACATAAAATTAAACAACCAGTGTTAGCAAAGCACATTGATCTTAATGGATTTACAAATGTAGATCAACAATAAATAATTATAAAGAATTTGTGTTATACTGCACATATTAACACTAACAGCAACAAACTTGCACAATAATGATGATGTAAGCAAGTAATCAAAAATTTAAACAAATGTGCTTTTAAAAGCTTAACATTGTTAATTGATGTAACAGGGAATGACTGTGAGTGAATATTATGACTAAGTACACATCACTTTCATGTATCTTCTAAAAAGTCCTACCGTGAAGCTATTGAGGCTAAACTTGATAAACTATTTGGGCCACTTACAGCACTCCCACTTAATTTTTCCATCTCCTCATCAGTTTGATTACTCTTCAGCTCCTGAAGTGTGTAGACAAATCGGTTCCATTCATCATGTCGTGGGTGAGCCAATTGCTAGGAAGTAAAAAGGAAGTGTCAAAAATGAGTTAAGATTAGAATCCAAACTTGAACCGCAATAAAAATTATGTTTGTTGTTGTTTCTTTTTTCTTCACAGATAATGGCAATGCTTACCTCGCCCACATCATAAACCCATATTTTTCCTTGGTCATCACCAACAGTCACATGAAGACCAGAAGGTGTCCACGAAACCCTGTTCAGAGCAGGGCTTCCCTCAACCACGGCAGTCACCATTGGAACTTCTGTATCCTGATTCAAATTCCATAAATCTAATCGGCCACATCCATCAACAGAAGCAAACAATGCTGGATGTGATGGAGACCAGGCAACGTCATAAACATAGTCACCATTATCTTCAAATGAATATAAAGGCTTAGTTTCCTGGAAAACAAGTTTGTTATTAGGCACATTACACAAGACCTAATTCAGAACTTTCAGATGTTTCACCAGCTTACCTTAGTTGTCCACAGTTTGACCGTCCAGTCAAATGAGGAGGTAAGAAATAGATTTGAGAAGTCTACTCCACCCTGTGCAGCATGAGTAGAAATTCCAGTGATGGGGCCTTGATGCCCATCATACTGCTCAATAGCACCAACCTTTGTTCCATGGCGACAAGCTGTAACACAAAAAGAATGAAACCTTAGAGCCAAATCACTACACTGATATAATAGGGATTGAAATTCCAAGATAAACACCTGAAAACACAGCTCCTTCTTCACTTCCCACAATGAAATTATTAACTTCGTTGTTGGGGAAAGCCATGCATGTCACCGCAACAGTTTTAGATTGCCGCGGATGGTGCAGCTCCATCGTTTCTTGCGGCTGAGAAAGCATGTCCAAGCTCCATGAACACAACCGGCCGTCTGTAGATATACTGAGCAGATTGTGTGCATTGGGTGTCCCCACAACATTCAAACAATACACTGGATGCTGGGAAAAACAGAAAGAACAAACTGGAAAAAGATTCATAGTCAGCAAAACTGCAGTCATAATCTTGAGCAGAGGCAGACACTTACAGTGTGTGCTGCAGCTGACAATGGTGTCCGCTGAATGGGTGTGCGTTTTTGGACTCTATTATCCCAGACCACAATTTGACCAGAGTATGTGCCACCCAGAATGAGATTAGGATGAAATCTGGAACAGGCAATTAAGACCACAATTTCAGCACATACATTTTGAATGGGCATAATGACATAATGACACAAAATCACATACCGTGCAAAAGATGCTGCCATGACTGGAGATTGACAATGAAAAATATACTCTGGGGTAGTTTTCTTGAATTTAGTGTTCCATACAAGGCAGACACCATCTGGGTCATTTGGAGAATCTGGATTATTTTGATAGGATGCTACAAGAAGTTCTGGAAATTGAGGTGACCAGTCCATAGACGTTACAGGTCTATTGCGAGACCACCTCTCATCATGGAAAAAGCGGTTCAGAGAAAGACGAAGGTTGGACTTGTCATCACTGAGGGGGAAAACAAAAAGGGGAAAAAATTACAGTAACTATTTGACAAATACCATACTTAAGAAACAATTTGTAAGCTTCAGTGCTAACCCAGCTTCATCTCCATCATCTACTCCAGTGTAGTCTATGTAGATATCAGTCGATTCTCCAAGAGCCCGTTCCACTATGCGACCAGCTCGGTCTACAAATCGTTGGAAATCTTCAGACAAAATTATCATCTGCTTTTCATCCTCACTCAATTCTCGCACTGTAGAAAAATAATATACATTTAGAAGAGGTTTTAATTGTACTAAAATAATTATAAACACAAGAAAAACTCTTCTCTTTTGATTGAATTACCTTCTTTTTTCTTTTCTTCCTTTTGTTGTTCTAGAGGTGTCTGGGCAGGTTGTACGTCTTTCACTTGGGGCAGTCCATGAGGTAGGATTCCCGGAGGCAGCTTTCCATGGAATGCACCGCCGCCACGCCCACCATCCATGTGAGGCAAGGAGCTTTCTTCTTCTTCCGCTTGCAGATCATCATAAGTCAAAACTACGGTGAATAAGGCGCTCCTATCTCCCGGCACCACTAGCCTCATTTGAATGAGTAACTTAATGCAAATTCATGAGCACTATATGGAATCTAAACAAAATTTAACTTTTTTTCTAAACAGCAAGTCTGCGGTAATGAAACTCAATTCAGCTACTGATTTTACTTTTCAATGACTAAACTCAACAGCTACATTATTTGGTTTTAAGGGCACATGAAATTAGAAAGGCATGAAAACACCTCAACATTAAGTTCTTCTAGGCAAATGAATCACTCAAAGTGATGCTACAATTCAGGTATCAACAACACAACTATAGCTACAAAATGTTCTACACCTTAAAGTCAGCAACAAATATTCAAAACGGTGCAAGAAATAAAATTGATAATCCTTTCAAGTTTTGGTGAAGCATAGTAGCAAAATGTAGAAAAATGCACTACAGGTAAACTAGACCAAAAAAAAGAACTGTACTTTCAAATTATCAATTACGCACACAATCCAAAAGTTTCTAGAGGTGTTTTGCCTAAAAACCTGACAAATGCGACAAAAAAAAAAAAAAAAGAATATGCCCAAAACTTGCATGCAAAACAACTAAGAGAAAGAATCATGCTTGATCATGCTCCCAAAATTTAAGGTAAGGGAAACCGACATAAAAAAACACAAAATGTATGAAAATATGCAAAATAATTTAGGACTAGTCAGTTTATAGCACAATTTCAAATCTGATGTTAAAAAAAATTATGGGCAGATTCCCTGAGTAAAGTTCCGTGTTGTTACAAAAATTCTAAGTTGAAAAATACAGCTTTCTATTCTTTCACTACAAAGTGTTTGAACTAGGCGATCTTTGATTTAGCACCTGGCACATCCAAAGCAAAATGAGCCAGCAATACAGTGAAAAAATATTTAAAACTCAGGATACTAGCAGTATGATACTTTGGCATTGAAACCAGCATGCACGATTGATTCATTTCAAAAACAGTTGATAAGGGAAATGGCAACATATACTAAATAATGAGAAAGTTACAAGGTGCTGGAGGCCATAGGCAGTAGGCACCTTGCTCTGTCAGCCACACACATAACACACACTTATGAAAATATGAAACAGATAATCAAACATAGCTCTTTCTCTGATGTCAAAGTAAAACGAAGAACTGTGGCTACTTCATTCCCCTGCATATCTAAAACAGGAGGGAGACTATGAACAAGTTGTTTCTTCTCTGAAATGAGCACCAAGAAGTGTTGCATGAAAGGCTTCCTTGTATTTACACAATTGTAGTGTAAACCGTAAATCAGTGACAAAACCATGGTGTCTCTGTCAAATAAAAGCTACAGTGTGGTGAAAAGATGTGTAGAACAGGGAGTGTTAGTGCATGAATGACAGAATTGCAAGTAGCGGCCTAAGCCACCATGCAGCCAGCAAAAGCAACAACAAATACAAAATATTTAAAAAAATAAAAAATCTAACTAAGATTAAGTTCATGCTATGGACAAAAATTGGTGACCAAAGAGTCACAGTCACAATTTAACGCAGCCTTCTTAGGTTTCATCCAGCCAACTAACTAGTTTCTTTCATTAAAAAAAAAAAAAAAAAGACTAGAAAATGAAAGACAGGTGTGCTAGACTGAACACCTACCTGTGAACTCATCCTCCCATTCTAAACCAGGGTTTAGATTGTACTCGTCTTTTGGGATGAAATAAAACAAAACAATCATGATAGACAAAGAAACACTTCAAAGTGATTACATGAATCAAACATTCCATAAACGTTTGCCAGAAATGTGCCCGTTTCAAGGCTGCAAATGACTGAATTAATCAGGAGGGCTTCAATGCAAAGCAGGCTAAAGAGAAAATTAGCGCTTGGGAAAGCAAATATAATAATAAAAAATCCCAGAGTTAAAACAAATTACTAATTTATATTTTACCACAGCTTACAGAACATAAGCCCCAGATTGCAACTACTCATTTGCAGCCCTTGAAAAATAAGAAGAATATTGATTTCATATTGAAAACGATACCAGATTGCTCAATCAATTCACACTCTGAAGAAGATAATGTTTTCACCAAATTCCTCAGATAAACCAGCCTTTTACAGAGTCAACGTAAGAATTACAGACATTACCTACATACAGCAAGGGAAAAGTGCAACCCGTGATCACGACTTCATACTAAGAAGTGATTCAGAAGGACTGCAATTTTTCCAGCACCATATGCAAACTTTGACAAAATGTTAGTTGCAACAGAAAACAGACAGCCATTACAGCATATTGCCATTGGTAAATTGAATAATGAAGTGCACTGTACAGCAATTGTTACCAGACTAAGGCAGCAAGCAAGGAATAGGCAAAGGATAGGGGACAGATTAAAAAAGAGTCACACGTTTAAAAAAATTAAAATCAAAACAACGAAAGGGTATCCAGCGAGATTTTCCTGGGCATGCCACAGACTTAAGTCTCTAAGTTTAGTATTGTTTGAAGAATGATGAAAGTGTACACTCAAAGCAGAGAAGTTCGGAAACAACAATGTTAATGCAATGTCTAACAAGATCACCAAATCATTTCCAGGCCAACTATCAGCTAATGATAGCTAAGTCCATGTGTCTTGTTTCAGATATGCATTCTAATATGGAGAAACCACTGGAAGGTGCGTTAAGTTGCTCAATTTGGCAGATATTCAGTTTAACCTGTAGATAATCATTCTTACTTTCCTTCCAATTTTCAAAAATAGTAAATACCTTAGATGAATATAAGTATGGCTGACTCTTAATCTAAGTTAAAATGAACACTAGAGTGACCTGTGAGGGGGAGAAAAAGGTACAAACTGGACACGAACCAAAAAAAAAAAAAAAAAAAAAAAACACATATTGATAAGCAAGGAGATGCAGCACAGTGCCAAGCTCCAGCATAAATTTCAAGAAGCAAGAGAGAAATTTTTTCAAATTAAATGCCTTGCAAATTGAAGACTGCACCCCTATCCCATTCCAAAGCCCAAAAGTTCATAAATCTCACAAAATTATTGGAAATATAATGTTAAAAGTTTTTGTGAGCTACACCTATGCTTCATTTTGATGATAAAGAACTTCAAAATCTTAATATTAATAATAAAAGTAGAAAAAATCTTCAGTTGCACACAGATGTTTACCCACAAATGATTCCATTTTTGACAAAAATACAATATTCGAAGTGTAGTGTTGTGAAACATGGAGGCACAACAGATTACAGATGATATTGAAATAACACAGATAAACCAAAATTCTAATCATCTCTAAATTTAAAAACCATTTCTTGAGAGACAACTTAATTCTTTTGTGGGATAACATCATATTTTGTCATAAAACTCTAAAATTTGAGGAAGGCTGAATTCTTAACTTACCGTAATAGTCGAAGGCGTGAGCTACATGGCAGTAAGTTGATAAAGGGGCAGGATGGAAAACAAAACAGAAACAAATGAATTTCAGTATTGAGCATAAAACATTATGAAAGATTACAGCAGCAAGTTAGTTCAATGTGGGGTAAAATAGTTGATACTCGTTAATGATAGCAATTTTCTTAAATTTGCTCGTGTCAAGACATAAATTAGTTCAATATGCAAAATAATCAGTAACATGGACTACGCTCCCTGAAACCACCACTCTTTTCTTGGGATGGAAACATTTAATAATTTGGTTAGATTTGATTTAAGCATGAGGAAACCGTCACATTCACATTGCACTGGTTACTCAAGGAGGTGATTCATTTGTTACTTTGTTTGAGAGGTAACGGTGATGATTACAGAAGTAACAAAGTAACAAATATACACACATACACATGTTGAGAGCATGAGAAAGAAGAGAAAAAGCAACCCAATGCTGAGAAATGCTGGCAGTTATAGAGAGAAATAAGATACACAGTCAAGCTTACAAATTGTTGACTGAGGATACAAAAATCATTCTTTTTCTGGAAAGATAAACAAAAAAAAAGGTCAACAAATAAAAAGTCAAATTTAATGCTGATTTGGTATTTTCTGAGGAATAGTGTGAATTTTTCAAAATTGTGAAAAGCGTAGAAGTGCACAGGTATGTAAACAATGGAAGTGTACACTCGAATTGATTGAACCGCTAAAAGTTCCTACATTAAAAGAGACATGTTTGATACCACTGTACAACTCTTCCAAAACTAATAGAAATAAATAAATTACAACAATAAACACCTTATCAGCGCTTTATAGCACATCCAACTTCATTGCATTCTTCGAGGAAGCATTCACGGTATTGTTTCAATTTGATATCATATTTTTCTACAAGGCACACATAACAAATACAGACACCATACTGGAAAATAGCTTCCAGATGCATCATAAAACCCACCTTTGCGCGGCCTCCACCAGTCCTCGAAGTATCCTTTCAACGGAGAAGAGGAGGAAGAAGATCCTTTTTATATAGAGTGCAGTAACAGAAGCACAAACAGGTTGCCGAGTGCTCTATGAGCCTTGTAGAATACTTCAAATTATATATTAATGCCCTGATCCTTATCCAACCTAAAATCTGAGTCTTTCAGAGGTATAACAACAAGGAACCATGTTGAGATATTGATTCATAGGTACTGCCTCCTTGCATTGAAAAATTGTGCAGACTGAATTTACACATTCACAGAGATTTTACATATTGGGGAAATGTGTTGCAGGTAACAATCTACAAATTAAATAAAAAGGGAAAAAGGTGAAAAAAAGGCTGAGACATGCTTTTCTATTGTTCTAATATTACTGCAAACTAAGTTCAGAAATGAAATTTCTAAAACAGATATTACTTCCAGCAAATACCACATCAAGATTGATGCAAAACAAGCAAGACACCTTGTGAACTTACACACAAATTAGCCCAGAACTGAAAACAGCATACAAAATAAAAACAAAAGCATTGAGGATCATTCAATAGCAACAAGATAGATTCTTGAGTCTAAAACTGAAAAAGGAAAACAATTTATAAATACATAGGTAAGAGTAGAAGTGAAAGCATATAGGACAAAGAACAGGAAAAAAAAAAACACTACAAGACAAGGAGCAGGTGGGTTTCCTCAGGCTTATCAAACCAAATCCCTCCCCCCTCCCCCAAAATAATCAATGAAAAAATAGAAGAGTAAACTATTGCATCCATTGCAGGCATTATTGAACTGCAAGCTTGACTCTATATACTGAAAATGTTGCAAAAAGAATGACAAGTCCCTTGTGAATGCATTGACACACTAAACTGAAGCAATATGATTACATTTATGCACAAGCGGCAAGAACAACAAAAAATTTAACTCAGAATTGGGATAGAAATAAAATTGGACAGCTGCGTTAAATTAAAGTTGTATTAGAAATACATTAGTGAAATACAGTAGTTAGGCATTTAAAATGAAAGAAAGAGTGGTGTCACAGGTCTACTATTGCACTGTGAAGGCCAATGAAAATAATAGGGTTTTAATTTTGAAACTGTTTAAGAAGATAACAACACAACACTACATCCCCATGCACTAGTACAAATGTCCCGTACAAGCCAATTATAGGTCAGCAAAATGAAATACTGTCCGTCAATGGTGTAGGTTTAAATCTCATTCGTAATGATAAATATTCCATTTTTTAAAGTGGCAAGTGTGCTTGCTCAAAGAAAACTGATAATGCCTGAACAAAACATACATTCAAAACTTGGGAAGAACCCATAATGAAATTTGAAGATTTGATTAAATTGCATATCCTTCGAAGTTTCACTATTTTGTCATACGAAAACCTATAGCTCATATCCCTATCGTAAATATGTAAGTGCAGGTACTCACCGTCTCGCTCATGACCACTTGCAGTAACAGTCTGTGTCTGTTTAGCATAGGTAACTGTTTCCTTAGGGGCAATGGTAGTTGACTGTACAGTAACTACACTCAGTTGGGTTGATTTCTTTTTACTGTAAGAAAAAGATTGTAACGATTACAAAGACAAAAATGCTAATATGTGGCTGAAGTTATCAGCAAGTTATAAAAATGTAACTTGCCTGGCAGGTGTGATAGGGGATGCTGAATTTAGTGTGAGGCTTGTATCAGGTGTGGCATTATCACTGTGTTCAGCTGATAATGATGGCATACTTGATAAACTTGACAAAACATCTGTAAGAGAAAAAGATTCAGTTGACCTGTTCTTACAAGCATGAAAATAATTTCTTACTCATAAATTTTGTACCGGAGGGTGGTGCAATTCCTAAAGATGTTAACATGTCTTCTAGTTCCTTTCTTTGGTCTTTTTCTTTTTCTCCATACTGAGCTCTGGTAGCGGCATCTTCCATCTGAAAAATATTTTTCACACACTTATCAAAACACTGTTTTCTCCAAAATAAAATAAATTAGAAGTGACTAGCATATTTAATTTCTTACATCCTTCTGCTCTTTTTCTCTTCTTCTCCTCTCCTTCTCCTCGCGAATAGCTTGAAGCTTCGCCTTCTTTTTCTCCAGCTCTTCCTTCCGTCCAGACATTTTGGAAGATGGTTATTCCTTTTAGCTTTGGGTATAATTGTACCTGCATGGTAAAAAAAAGCAACATTTTAAAACAAATTACAGCAAATTTCAACAACTTTCTAACAAACCGCCAACTGGTAACCAAATGGAGGACTCATCCATTGCAGACAAAAATGATCACAGCACGGCTAAGGAGCATTAATGGGCGCTATTCGATGCAACGAGGAGTTCAGCACAACTACGAACTCGTCAGGACAGTAATGTGATGTGGGCGTCTAGGGCACATACGTCACGAACTGTCAACAAAGGTGACAGAAAACAGGCCAACACGGAGTATTTTGTGAATAATAACTCTGCATTTGATTCTTGGTACAAACGCGCTTGACGAAGCTCGGTCGCAAACACTAAACGTATCGATCTGCTCCTCCCAAGAAGCGCGTAGGAAGGTAAATAAAGTGAACCACTTAACCAAGGTGCAGACGGACGCGCGGCCTGCACCAGACTTTCGAAAGCCACCTCTCATGCGGTGCGATGAGGAAGACAAAAGGCTTTCAGTTGCGGCAACACTTACGCTTTGAGAACTAATTCTTGTGAAAGTCTCCAACCCTGTTTACATCACTGTTGAGAGACAAAATTCAAAATCCATCGTCCAAACGTCCAAATGCACAGAAGTTAAGATGGCGGAACGGGATCGAGGTGGTGACGTGACGCGCAGCCAAACTTCACACACAATCATTTTGTTCTTACGTTTCCACAAATTAGCAAAATAAACAACTCAAATGTGACTAGAGAATGGCTAAATAATTGTCAGAAAAAAGGGGGAAAAATTCTGCAGCTCAAAACATCTCAATTTTTTTCAAACATCTCAATTCTTAGTGTGTCTTAATGTTTAGTAGGTTGGCTACAGAGCTTCTTAGCCTCGCCGCATGGTGGCGCCACCGGTACCCAACTTACCGTCGTTATCACTTTTGGGATACAAATGACAAGGAAAACAAATACAACCAGACCAGCAGTCGAACAACAAGTGTGGAAAAAAGAAAAACAAAACAGGACAGTACCGGAAAAACCATGCCAACTGGAACTAGAGAGTCATTGATTGTCCACTCCGGTCCTCTCGACCAAACTGGAAACAAGACGAAGCGGGCGTTCGTCCTATTAAAAGGCGCCGAATGTTACCAACAACTGTGACAAACGCGAAGGAAGTGTCACCTGACTTCGCAGCTCTAGTGCATAGATGATTGAATGATACACACGAAATTTTGAGTCCTTAACATCTCAACCAATTTCGGTATTTGCTAGTGGACTCTGATGTAAAAATTAGTGTTTGAATAATTTCGTTTCGTTGGTAACGTGCGACACAGGGAATCTCTGTGGCGGAAAATCAGGACCAGGACTGCTTTGAACGAAGGACGCGATCGACGCGACTCGAAGAACGTGTCACTCCATGTTCATCGCTGCGCGAGGACTTGAAAGAAATAAAAAGAAAGCCAACCCTTGGAAAGAATCCCGTTACCTGAATGGAGCCGGACCAAAGATGTTTGCCAGAAGGAAGTTGGGTGAACTGGCTTAGCCCGAGCCAAGGATCAAGATGGCTGTCGCTGGTACACCCGCCTCGCTGGCCGAGTGACGGCGATATTCACCGACAGGAGTGGTGCGCCTTCACTTCGTCTGATCGCAAGCAGGCGCTGCCCCGTCACATGAAAACATGTGACGGGGCCTAGTATTCGAATAGACCTTGGGGGCCTCGATCCGTCCTTATTTCGGCTAGTGACGTGACTGCCCGATGGCCGTGACCCCCGTGACCGTTTTCCCCAGCAGAACTGGCTTCTGTCCGTAGTGTGACTGCCCCGCGGCACGGCCGGCATGGCGGACTCCACCTACGTGGGCCCCGTCCCCGGGCGCGTCCTGGTGGACGTCATGATGGGCATGTGGGGCGGCCTGTTCTGCCTCCTCGTCGTGGACCTGCTGTCGCGCTTCGCCGGCCTGCCCATCCCCGGCAGCGTGGCAAGTGCCTCTGATATCCACAAAAATACCCTTGGTGACTGTTCCTCAATGTGCGCTGCGCGCGCTGATGTCTGCAGATGCTGCCGTTCCTGCTGCTGGGCTTGGTGTGCTTCGCCATGTTCGGCGCGCTGCTGCTGTTGGCGTCCAGGCCGGTGGCGCTGCCCGAGCTGGTGGTGGCCGCCGTGTCCTTCGCCGTGGCCGTGCTGCTGCTCATGGACGCGGCCTGCTGCCTGCTGTGCCGCAGCTACCGCACCGCGCCGCCGCTCGCCGTCTTGCCCTGAACCTCTCTGTACAAAGTAAATAAAATTAACAATAAAATAGGCTGAAGGATTAATTTGAAGGCGTGAATGTGGCTGAATCCCAGCAGGGTGAACGGGCCGAGGCCCCGCCAGGCCCCGCCGGGCAGTAGCTCCCCACCTCCCCCAAATAAGTCCCTGCGGAGCACGGTGTCTGACGGGCAGACCGCCGACCGCGGTGTTTAGCGGTGGTGGGGGGAGGGGCGGCCTGTGGCTCGCCTCGCAGTGCTTCGCCATGCTGCGGACGCACGGCCTTAAATGTGTAACTTGGGAGCCAATTTGCCGGAAATTGGATAGGCCGGACTTGCCCCGACCGGACTTGCCCTGACGCCCTCCACCGGCGCGGCGAAGCGAACCTCTGCTGCCACCGCCACTGCGCCACTGCCCTCGCACTACGCCCTGCCCTTCGCCTTGCCCCAACGACCGCCGGACGTGCGGCCCGTGAGGCCATGGCAGCGCGGACCACTGCCGTCACGACCCACCCCGTGTACCCCGTGTACCTGCGCTGCAGCGGTGACCGCGCGGACGGTGCCCCGGATTCCCACTTGCTTCGCGTGTCCCTGCGGCAATGCTATCGGCGTTGGGCACGGTGCGCACGGGGGCGGCCAGCGGATAGCGTATCGTTTAATCCACTTCCGGCGCGGGGCCTGCTGGTCGCCACGGGTCTAGTCGTCGCGAACCGCGGCCCTTCCTTATTAGTGTCCCGTGAAAGGGCCGGAAGGAACGCCGCCCGTCTTCGGCCGGACCGGCCAACCCTCTGTCTGACCCTCTGTCTGACCCTCTGTCTGACCCTCTGTCTGACCCGTCGCCGGCCAGAGCGGTACGGCCTTGCGGCGCCTTATGGCCGCACTGCACTGCATGACCTGATTCCTCATTCCGAAGGTCCTGAGGGGTTGCAACTTCGGGCACGGCGTGGCCGGTGCGTCCTTCCGGACAGCGCGACGTCCGCGACGGCCGCCCCTCGCACACCCTTCCCCGTCGGGAAGGTGACCCGTCGGACCGCCAGGGCGGCCCTCCTCTGCCACCGCCCCGCTCCAGTTGGAAAAAAACTTGGCCGATTTATCAGTGGCGATGACAGATTGAGCGCGGCTGCCCGGGGCTGCCCGGGGCTGCGGGGGCACTCTATGGCCTCCATGCGCGGCACGCCGTGGTGGCACGCCGGCGCCCCGCAGTGGTCGTTGCAACCAACGAGGCAGACATATTCGAGGCATTCGTTTTGAGAGTGTGGCCGAGAGGTATACGCGGCGCTTCGCGCTGCGAGGCGGGGTCGTCGGCAGGGCCTGGGCCTGGGCCCCAGCACGGTCCATTTGCGCGGGTGGTGAGGCCCCCTTGGGTCCCGAGAGGGAAGCCCTTGGTGGCCCCCGTGGGGCCCCAGAGCCGCCACCGCGTAGACAATTAAATATTGAGAGCTCCAAGCCGTGCAGTCTCGGCATGCGAGTCGGCATGCGTCCTCCTGCAGGCCATGGCCCTCTTACTGGCGAGTTATGCACGAATGTGGCGTTGGATTCGCGACAATGCCGCCATTGCCATTCCTTTGGCACGCGGCACGCCGCGGCACGCGCTGGAGCGGCTCATTCCGAGAGTCGTTTTCGCCGCTCTGTCTCCCTCGCACTCATGGGGCGTCCCGTGTAGGTGCGAGAGGGACAGACCGACGAAAACGACTCTCGGAATGAGTCCGCTGGCTGCGGGGTGCAGGTGCAGCGGTGCGTGCCGCGTCTGCTAGGTAGGTGCTTTCTCAAGACGCAGCGAATGGCTGCGCAGCCCTGCGCCACCCTCGACCCCAGTAGCAGTGTCGCGTTTTCCTATTTTTCCTCCCCGCCGCCAGCTGCTTCTGAGTGCGTTACGGCTGGGTCGTCCATGGGGCCGTCCAGGGGGCCGACGGGGACGTCTCCCTCCCTCACGCACACACGCACGCACTCACGCACGCACACGCACACTGGGCGCGTCTGTTTCCACTTGTCCGGTAACTGGTGTAGACTTCCCCTTTGTTTTGGCGGCGTGTCTCTGGTGCGAAAAATGACATCGGCGCCCGGGCGGCCCGGGCGAGGGAGAGGCCAGGGGGATTGACCCCACTATCATTGCTGCGGCTGTCAACAAACACCCTCTCCTTCTCTCCCGCGCCCTCGCACACCTCTCCTCTGATTTTCGGCCGGACGCCGAGTCGGGGACGAAGAGGGATCGTCGCTGCAAACCGAGGGGGCTTTCAGTCGTGCGTACTGTAACGGTGTCCATACGTGGAAATCTGGAGTGAACCGAATCCCCGTTTTGAAATTCATTTCAAGTGTTGTGGGCTTGGCTCCGAACGGCCCCCCTGCCGGCTACGCATCCCGCAGCTCGCAGCCCTTACCACCCCGGAGGGCCCCGGAGGCTGCCTGCAGAGACACGCGTCCAAATTGGCTAATGGCTAATGCAATACGTGTAAATCTAGTCAGCGCTAGGCGGCGCCCACAGTGCACAGTGTACCCGGGGCTGGGCTGGGCGCGGCGCGGCGCCGCCGAACGCGAAGCGGAGGGGGAGGGGGTAGGGGTGGCGGGGCGGCGACGCGCACCTCTCGGGGCTCTCATTCAATTCAAAGCGAATATTGGTATTTACTCGGGAGGGTCTCGGAGGGCTCCGGCGGGGTCGAGGCGAGGCGAGGGCGCGACTCCCACCCCGCGGTGCCGCGGTGCCGCGAACCGCACGCCGAGAGAGACGGGCGGAACGAGCACGCCGATGAGCAAGCCTCGGCAAGCCTTCCTGACCGGGCCACTTTGCCCTCCTTGTTTTTCATCCCAATTTCCGGCAATTCGGTCGGCAAGGCAAGGCGGCGCGCGGGCTGGGGCGGGGCGGGGCGGGGCGGCACGGCTCCCGACCAATTAGATTTCAAAATCGGGTCATCTCTCTGCGGGGGAGCATTGCGACGGCGCTGTTGCCGTTTCGCACAATTGGGACCGTTTAGAGACCTCATAAAAGTGAATGTGACAAACAAAACCAGGGGCCCTCTGCCAGTGTGCCTGCCTGCGTGTGTGACGGGGTGGGCGTGGGGGCCTCGGCGGCGGCCGTATGTCGCGGGCCCGTGGCGCAAGGGGTGCGCCTCCCGGACTTCGGGAACGTTCGCCGGAGGAGAAGAAATGAGCGAACAGGCGAATAACTCCTGATGTCGGCAAAGTCTCCATAATTTATGGCACAAAATAGAATCGCTGAGTAGTGGCGCAGCGGCGCGGCGGCGCGGGGGTGGGGTGGACCGCGTGGGGACCGCGAGGGGCACCGAGCCCTGCCGCCCCGCCGCCCCGCCGCCCCGCCCGGCTCAAAGAATGCCGCTGCCGCGGACGGTGGCGCGGAGTGGATTGGGGTGGAGGTCGGAGGCGCCGAATTTTCGGCCCTCTTTTCGGGGATTCTTTACGCGCCGCGCGGGAATTTGGCGGCCACCTTGTCTGGCGCTAAC